TCTGATTCTCCTAGAGCACTTGAGTACTTGAGACCTTTCTTAAAAGGACAAATTTCCATAGTTGAATTTTCCAAACCATCCTTAAGCGATATCCTGGTTCAAGGAATTCTTCGCATTATAATTAATCATTATATATTTATTTATTAATTAAAAAGAATTAACGTATTTACAGTCCTTTAAATTTTGTGAATTTGTCCAAACGGTCATTTTTTCATACATACCATTTTCGTGTTCCGGATTTTTCAATGTTTGATGTTGAAATCAATAAAAATCCAGTTTATTTATTGATTCTTTTTTATTATTTAATGTTATATATAAATGTTATTGTGAAATATATTTAAGTTTAACATATAACGTTAATGTAAGAGCATAATATATGTATATGATCTCAATTTCGGGTTAAGAGGTTTGGTTAAAACGTATTCGAACCGATTTGCAAATATGAAAATTCAATTGACGTATATATATATATGGATACAGGGTGCAAAATGAAACTTTTTTGGCAAAATTGGATCATTTTAAATCATCCACAAACTGCTAAAGTATTTTTAATTTAATCTTATATTTTTAAACTTGTAAAACTTACTGCAGGAACTGCGACGAGCTGCACAGGTTGAAAAGGTGCAGAGGTGGGAATTTCTAACTTAAGTCAGTTCTGAAACGAAACTAAGTCGAAGTGAATTAAGTTGCAAATCTAGTCTTTATCACATTTCCCTATTAAAAAATGAAAGTTTTCAAATGATCTCTTATTTTTTCATAATTGCAATGTTTGCAATCTTAACACAGGTCAGCAAAGTACAAAACGTTGATTACGTTGTTGGTTTTTCCCATTTCTTTGGATTCACCAAGGCTAGTATTCGTCGTATTCAAATACGATTTAACCAAGTTTTGAACATAATAGCATAGTTTAGCATTGATAGGATAAAACGGATAACATATTTGAAAAAATCCAAAAAAAAGGAGGGGTGTAAAATTTTGTAATTTTTTTCTACCTATTTGTTTTTGTTTTGTTTTCTAACGCAATGGTTTATAAGTGTATAAAAGAAAAATGTAGAATTTGTAAAATAAAATTGAATATGTTAGAGAGTTGTAGTTACATAAAACATATCGTTTATACCAGTTTCCTCGTTTGGTAATTGAATCGTTCAAATGTGAAAAACTGCGCACAATTCCTGGTAAAACGATGATTTATTGTTTATGACACGTTAATAAAATTTTGAACGACACCCGCTTTTTTATAACATGGACCATTGACCTCCCACCTCGTGTTAAGATGACAGAGAAAAAATGGAAAAGCAATAAGATATCAAAAATTCCATTTTTTCTATCTCTTATTTCAATACAAAAAGGATGGCACGATTATATAAAATTCTCTAATTTCGTGGTCCGCTTGACCAATTAATATATTACAATTAAGGTTTTAGTTGAGATAAAAAAGTCAATGGCACGAGCGGGATTCGAACCCACGATCTTCGGCTAGATACGCCGCTGCTCTACCACTTGAGCTATCGTGNAATCCAATCCGATTACACGACATTTGAAAAATGGCAAAAAGGAGGGAAAATTCAAAAGGTGGGGTTGAGATGGGAGGTTAGTGTGAGTGGATCGAGGTCACGATAGCTCAAGTGGTAGAGCAGCGGCGTATCTAGCCGAAGATCGTGGGTTCGAATCCCGCTTGTGCCATTGACTTTTTTATCTCAACTAAAAACCTTAATTAATTGTAATTATATAAAATCTCAAATTGAAAAGCATCCACAAAAAAAGAAAAACATAGAATCATAGATATGTAACCTAACCCTAAACCTACCTGGCCTAACCTAACCTTATCCGTCCCTAACCCCACTTTCCATTAACGGAGTTTGTATTATGATAAAAGGAATGAAAATAACTTTTTAAATAGAAAATAAATAAAAAATATCAAAAATTCCATTTTTTTCTCTTATTTCAATGCAAAAAGGCTAGAACCATTATTTAAAAACCTTCAAATTGCAAAGCATCTAAAAAAAACATAGAATCGTAGATAATAACCTAACCCTAGCCCTACCAGACCGAAGCTAAAAGGAAAAAACATAAAAACAAAACATGGATATGTAACCTAGTCTAACATATCCGTAACCGTACCCAACCCTACTCTTCCCTTAGACCTCCAACCCTTTCTACTCGACATAATCCGTCCCCATTCCTACTTTCAATTAACAGGCGTTTTTATTAGGATTATAAGAATGAAAAGGAACTTGAAAAAAATGGAATCATGGATATGTGACTAGACTCAATTATGTTCATAACTCTACCTTACTTGACCTAATTATAACCTCATCTACGCCATATGCACTCCACGGGTAGCACTAAATCGATGAAGAGAAAATGATCACGGAAAAGTCATTTATTCAGCCCAAAATAAATAATAAAATGTTAAAATTTATTAGCTCTTATTTTAGTGTATGCTTTCTAACAGGATTTCAGAAGTATGAAGGAGCTATCACAATAATCAAAATCATGAAAATCGCGAATCAAATTTTGCAGTTTTTTGACTTTTTGTATTTCGAATTAACAAGCGTTCGCATTACAAATTTTCTAAAGAAGCAAACAAAAATGAATGTTTATTATTTTAGACAATTAAATGTAACTTAAGTAAACTAAACTTAACCTTAAAAAGGATTTAACATTTATTTCATCTTTCAAAAATTAAATTATTATAAAATTATATTTTTTTAAATATTATAGTTCATTCACACGATTGTTGCTTCTTTTAATTGCTCTAGATTTGCTCAAGTACAATTTAAAAATTATAAAACTACATGTTTATGTAACGTTTTCTATTAATTCATATGTGAAAAATCAATGAAATTCAATAGCTGAACCATTATTGAAAATTTCAATTTTTCAACGCCATTTTTTTATTTAATAAATTCAATAAATATTTTATACGACTTTCTGTTTTTGTTGACCGAGCAGTTAAGAACAAATCACGGAACAATCAAACATTTTTTAAACAAAACACCAAGTGGGAGCGACGACCAAACGCAATATTTATTTTTATTTTTATATAGAACACCTTCTCAAGTATCTCTATCAAAGTGGGCAATCAATGAAAGAAATTCGATTACAGTTCAACAACACAACAAAACAATTATTCAGTTCCTCTTACGGGGCGAAAAGCCATTAGTCCATATTGATTTAATCTTCTCCGAGCAGTGCGTTCAGAAATTTAGAGACCTCGAACATTCTGGAGCTGATGAATCGCTTGAACAACAGCAAGGTGCAGGTTTCGCAAAATTCTCAAACTCAAAAAACGGTCATCTTGTGGTTCTGTTAGCCTAGGGCGCCCCAGAACCGGGCCTTCTAAGGTAGGACCCAGTTTCTCGAAATCCTCTAACGGCGTCTCGCTTTTTTCGAGTTTCGTAGGGAACTCCGATGGCAAAGCCGCATACCTGACGGAACGTCCATCCTCCATCAGAGCCACACCACGCCCAACATCCTCAGCACTAAGTGGCATTTTTAAGTTAAAAAAACGAAAATATGAAAATTAAACAGTTTAATGCTTCAGAATTCAAATGAGACTGAATAAACATGTTAAATTCCGTAAAAATTAAACTTTGAAAAAATCCTTTATCCTTGTTTTGGATTAAGGATTAAGTGCGTTTACCTCTAATTGATATTCCCAATTTAAAATTAAACATAAAGAAATATTTATTTATAAAAATAATGAGACAAATTAAGGGCAGAAATTTCTTTTATGGAGAAAAAGAAAAAAATCAATAGGGTGGAATTTTTTGCCTGATAGGACGACCATTTCTGAGTTATGCCCGTCGGAAGACGCGTGGGGGGTACGCTTTTTGTAACAATATATATATAATCTATTTCGAACATTAAACCTAAAATAAACTTACCGCTCCTAACCCTAACCCTAGTTGACATAACCCAAACTAACTTTATCCACTTTCAATTAAAGGCGTTTTTTATTCGGATGACAGGGAAGAAAAAGGGCTTTCAAAAAGAAAAAATACAGAAAAACATAAAATCATGGTTATATTACATAATATCATCAATTAGGTTATATAACCTAACCCTAACACGACCGTAACCTTACTCAACCTAACTTTTCCCTGACCCTAACCCTACCTAACCTAACATAGCCTAATTTCAATTAACAAAAGTTTGTTTAGGATGGCAGGAACGGAAAGGTGCTTTAGAAAAATTAACTAGCCCTTTTCTAATCCTATCTAACCTAATTCAGCTCAACCCCTACGCACCAAAGTAGTTTTTAGCTCTTTTAATGCAAGCGCTTATGGATGGAATTTATTGGAGAATTTTCCAGAAATTTCAACAAGTGTTGAAAACTTTTAATAACCCTGACCCTTTAATTAACAACGTGAAATATTCTTGTATAGACAGGGAAGAAATAACCCGCAGTTGAGCCATTTAGCCTAATAAATAATCCACCTATGTCTATAAAATCAATTGTTCGGCCTGAATTTTAAATATATGAAGATATGTAACTTAAAAAAAGTTGAGTTTGTCGGTTTGAGAGTAACTGATAAAAAGAGGATTGTAGTCGATAGGATTGTAGCTGGGCTTTGGGAAGTCTGGAACCAGAGAAGGTGGAGAGATTCTATGTTTTTCAAGTGTTGAAAACTTGAAATAATCCTGCTCTTTAGTTAACTTTCAAGGCGTTAATTTTCACTTAAAAACTTGGGTCAAGGGTTTGTTGTCGATGGCCCTTGTGGGCATCTATACACTCTTGCTGTATGCTTCCGATATTTTCTTATTGTTAACACCCTGAAATAATGTCAGAAACATAGACAATTATGAAGCAACTCGCGACCGTTGACGCCTTTAACTTATGAAATAATCAACCAGTCTCGACAATATCAACGTAGATTAATAGGCGTGAAAGTAAAAGTGAACAAATACACCTTAGAACACATTTCATTTGGCGTAGATATTGTATGTCAACAAAAAAAAACACTGATAAAACTCAGGAGGACAACCTTGTATGTGTTTGCACAACCAATTTGTGACAGTCAACAGCCTTTCATTAAGGTTATATGATTAACAAATGAGCCCTACGTTCTACGCTGAATATTCATTATCAAATTAAAGCAGGGGGCGTGAAGTGGAAATACACGAAACAAACGTCACAATCGTGTTTGAAAATACTTTGTGTTCACTTAAAATTGAAATTTAGTCAATTAGCCTTATAACGGTTTTTTGTGTACGCGCTGGTTTTCTTTGTGGGGGTCGAGTGTCGGAAGAGTTCCATTTTGAAAAAGTGACTTACCTTTATGATTTAATACCCACTTAAACGTACAGCTATAAACGCTATAATGAGTGGAAAGTGGTACTCGATGTTCTTATCAACCATCTTAGTACATCAAGTCAGATTGTGAGTATATTTCCATTTTTAGTCCTCCATCCTGGTAAAACATGATAAACATTTCATCCTTACTAAAATAAAATATTTCACCCCTTTTCCGTCATGACTACGATGGGGTGAAAAAATTGTCAAATTTGATATTTTTAACTTGAAAAAAACCACATGACTATTTAAAGGCCTTGACAAGGAGGAAGAAGGAAAGTAGGAAAAAAGGAAAGAAAATCGTTTTGTCGCAGCATTAAAATTTTATCTTTATTTGGCACGTAAACAAATTCTAAAAAAAGTTTTTTCCACCTGGTGGTTACACAGTTTCTTAATCGGATGAACAAACAAGAGGCGAGATTAAGAAAGGAAGAGATTCATAATCCACCACTAAGAAAATTTCCTGTTTGCGTTTGAATAAACAGATGGCCAAATTGCGTTTTTTTTTTTTTTTTATCTTTCGGCAAACCGATATCTTTGAGGTATCCGAAGTTTATTAGAAATTCGTACCACGAAAAAGAAGTGGAACGTTGAAATTTTCGACGGTTCGGCGGGGTTCATTCCTAAGACCTTTACTTTTAGCCACGGTTTTTAAGTGCTGAAAATGCTACGGATTAGAGTTCACATAATACTTTATATAAAACTTTATTTCGTGATACTCATCGAAAAATATTCTTTCAACCCTTCTTTCCGGGGAATTTAAGGATCCGAGAAAGAATTCCTGCAGTGGCTGTGCATGTATTTCAAGATTATTATCCACATCCTCCTAATGCTACCGAAATTAGGTGTAACCCGAATGAGAAGCGGGGGTGTGTGGGGTGGCCTTTGGGGGTGGCTCGGGTTCTCACCAACAAAATGATATTGACTGAATGCCTGTAAGGCAAACTAAAAAAATAAATAAATAATTTAAAAATAATAATAAAGTATTATACAGGGTGAACCTCAAATGCAACAAAAAAAGTTCGTATGAACCATGGTTCGATTCCCAACCCTTTCGAAGATATTCAACGTTTTATGTTTTTTTCAACTATCTACCACTATTCGTCCTAAATCTACTCGTAGCTCTTGAACTATTCATTTTTAGGGAAATCCAAAAAAACCATTGAAAATATGGTCAAATTTCCTTTAAGAAGGCACCCTTCTAGAACTTTTAATTTAATGTGTAAAGTGGTGACGGCGTGAAAAATGGGGAGTGGAGTTAATCTAGTAATTCAACTTTTTGCCCAGGCCAACATTTATTTTGTAAATTTAACTTAATAAAAATACAACAAAGAAAGTAAAATGAAACAAAATACATAAAAAAGAGTCATTAAACATAGTGGACCACCAAATTACGTTGGTTTTTTTTTGTGATTTTATTGATTTTAAGTTGATTTTTACACTTCTGTATTGTTCTTTTTTTGTCTGTGTTTAGTGTAGATACTTCGTCCAATTTTCCTGCTTTAATTGTTCCCTATGTTTACTGTCTCTTTTTTATGCACTTTCTTTCAAATTTCTTTCTTTTTATCCTTTTTTATTAATTTTATGTTGTAAAATAAATTTTGCCCAGGACAAAAAGTGAAATTACTAGATTAACTCCTCTCTCTTTTTCGCACCACTTTTTTCCCATTTAGCATAAAAAGTCTCCATTTTGGTTCGACGTAAGTAAAAAAATGGTTTACCACTAGAAAGTTATTAAAGGGAGAAGTGAAATTTGCCAAGCTCTAACGTGAATTTTTCCAACGAGGTTGGAAATTTAGTTTTTTCTCATTTTAAATATTAAAATTTAAAAGTTCATCAAGTTAAATTTTTTAAATTAAATTCATCTCCTTTGAATTTTATCCAAATTGAACATTTATACAACCGTTGAAAATTTACACTCCTCTATCTTTAGACAAGGTCAACAAATTTGAATTTCTATGCTATTACAAGTGAGAAAAATAAGGTTTAAAATTGACCAAAACCACTCAAATGTTTTATTGTTTAACACCGGTGCTATTAACATTAATTTTGCCTTCTTTCTGCATGTTTTTCAAGATTGCGGTCAAACATCGTATTCTTTTCTATCTACAATAAGGAAAATAAGTAGGAACGTACTTACGTAAATAAAATCTGATATAGAAAAGTTGTAAAAACCGTAAGGCGCTCTCAGGAATTGGACAAAAAATCATTTTGGAAAAAAACAATTCGGATTTGATATAAGGAGTCTTTAAAATCCTTAAATTAGCATTTTTATAGTATTAAAAAATATACATTTGTAGGGTGGATCGAGGTATTCAATTTTTGCTACTTCCATGTACAGTATTCCATTTTTTAAAATTCACAACTTTTTAAAATTTTACCCAAATTGTCCGTTATCACAGCCTTTTTAAAATTGAATTCCTCTACTTTTGGACAATTTCAACAATTTAGATGTTTTATGCCATTATAAGTGAGAAAAATTAGGTTGAAATCGAGAAAAATTGATCAAACGTTTTATTGTTTATCTCCGGTTGTAATAATATTAATTCTGTCTTTTATGTGCTGGTATTTCAAGATTATTATATATATTGTGTTTGTGCAAAATTAATGCAGGTTTTGAAAATTTGTTTTATTTTCACAGATGCTTGTCAAACCTAGCTAAATCCTCAAATCTAATTTATGGATTATTTAACTGTTACATTTTATACAAAATATTTTAGTTTATATTGAATTTTATAAGAGTGAGGACCTGCAAAATTAAATATGTCCAAACTAGATTTTCGTCAAATTTATTTCTACGAATTTAAACTTGAGCGAAGAGCGGCTCATCAATACAGTTTGGGGTTGGGAAGCATTGGCGAATGCTCGGTGCAGTAATGGTTTCAGAGATTTCGATCTCGAAGCCAGGGAAGGTCGCAGTACGCCTTTCGTTGTGGACGACGACCAACTCAAAACGTTGATTGAAGGCAATTCACCAAAGACAACACGGGAAATTGCGGTAGAGCTTAGTGTTGCTTAGCTGAAAATGGATTCTGTACGATAACGGGAGGTGTACAGGTCTGTGGGTTGACAAGGATGAAGCGCCAAAACACTTCCCAAACCAAATCTGAACCCAAAAAAGGTTATGGTGTTGCACTGCTGGGGTTTTTCACTATAATTTCCTGAATTATGGTGAAACTATCACAGCAGAGAAATATTGTCAAGAAATTGACAAAATATATAGGAAACTTCAACGTCCTTCCATTGTGGACGACGACCAGCTAAAAACGTTGATTGAAGAATGCACGTAAGACACACGGGAAATTGCGGAATAGCTTAGTGTTTACCTCTGAACCGTCGTTCGCCATCTGGAGCAAATTGGTAAAGTAAAGAACTCGACAAGTGGGGACCGCACGAACCAACCGAAGCCCAAAGAAATCGACCCTTTGGCATTTGAACGTCTCTCTGTTGCACCACCGAAATGATCCATTTCCCCAACGAACCATTACTTGCGATGAGAAATGGATTCTGTACAATAACAGAAGGTGAACAGGTCAGTGGTTGGAGAAGGATGAAGCGCCAAAACACTTCCCAAAACCAAATCTGTACCCAAAAAAAGGTTATGGTGGCTCTTTAGTGGTGTACTGCTGGGTTTGTTCATTATAATTTCCTGAATTATGGTGAAACTATCACATCAGATAAATATTGCCAAGAAATTGACAAAATAGACGGGAAACTGCAACGTCTTTGTCCAGCATTGGTAAGCCGTAAGGGGCCGAGCCGGCCGAGTCTTCTTCACGATAATGCGGGCCACATGCCGAAAAGCCAGCCCTGCGGAAACTTAAGGACTTAGGATATGAAACCTCCGCACCCTCCATAATTACCCGACTTCTCGCCAACACTATTTTAGTCATTTTGATCACTTCTTGAGAGACAAACTTTTTAGATAACGCGGTGAAGCCGAAAACGCCTTCCAAGACTTTATTGTAAGTCGAAATAAAGATTTATATATCAGCGGAATAAAAGCGTTAAACGTTGACAAAAATGCATAGATTGTGATGAAAAATATTTCGAATATATTTTCTTTATTTTATCAAAAATAAAAAATAGTTTAGACTGCCTTTTCAAAACCTGCATTGTTTTTTCACCATCCCAATTGCTTTTTTTTAGATAGGATAAGAAAATACTAAGCAGGATTGTATTAAAGAGACTAGGAATATAAAAAGTTACACAAAACAAAAACTCTTTTCAGTAAAATAGACCAAAAAAATTTTGGGGAAAAACCATTTAAGAGTTAAGAATTTTTATAGTAATCAAAAAATTGACGCTGGATCAACTGGTATTCAATTTTTTCTACTTCGATGTCAGGTGTTCAACTTAAAAAATTTACAACTTCTCAGAATTTTATCCAAATTGTCCATCATCACAGCTGGTGGAAATTTGAATTCCTCTGCTTTTGTACAATATCAACAATTTTGAATTTTTATGGGATTATAAGTTAGTAAATTATGGTTAAAATTGAGAACAATTTATTTTTTTATTGTTTATCTCCGGTTTTATCAACCTTCATTATGCATTAGCCTTCATTATGCAGGTAGGATTGTACTAAATGAGACTAGACTTTTAAAAACTTGCAAAACCCAAAAGACGCTTATCAGTAAACTAGGCCTTTTTTTTAAAAAACCGTTCAGGAGTTAAGAATGTTTAGAATAACCAAAAAATGTTTTCAAGTTTTGCTACTTCCATGTCCGGTGTTTCATTTTAAAAAATCACAACTTTTTAGAATTTTATCCAAATTTCAAGATTATTAAATATTAGTCGATTTGCTTTTTACCTATGATAAGAAAATAATTAGCAGGATGCTATTAATGGAGACTTAGACATATTAAATGTTACAAAAACCAAAAGACATTCTCAGTAAAGTAGGCCAAAAATGGTTATTTTTGGGAAAAAAAGCAAGATTTTAAACACTCTTTCAAGCCTTTTAATACGAAATTTCATTACAATAAAAAAAATTAAACATTTTATGCTGGATCAGCCGGTGTCAATTTTTGCTATTTCGATGTTCGGTGTTCAATTAAAAAAAAATTCATAATTCTTCTGGATGTTATCCAAATTGAATGTTTATACAACCGTCGCAAAATGGAATTCCTCTACCTTTAGGCAATGTCAACAATTTTGAATTTTGATATCAGTATAAGAGGAAAAATAACGTTTTTTTTTTTTTTTTTTTCNTGTGTTCAAATTGGGGGTTATCGGGAGAAAAGGGCCAGAGGCGACGGTGGGAATCGAACCCACGACCGCGGCGTGAGAGTCTCTCATGCTAACCACTCAAAAATAACGTTGAAATTGACAAAATATACTCAAATGTTTAATTTTTATTTCCGGTTCTATTAATATTAATCCTTTCTTCTTTGAGCATGTATTTCAAGATTATTTATATTTTTATTACAACCATTGGAAAGTAGAATTCCTCTGCTTTTAGACTATGCCAGCAATGTTTAGATTTTACCTAATTATAAGAGAATCAAATGACGATTAAATCAACAAAACCTCTCAAACAGTTTATTTTTTTTATCTCCCATTATAATTTTTTACTAGTTCTTAACATTTGTAAATTTTCCTGTGAGTAGGTTGGGTGGTCTCAAATGATTTTCGAAAAAATCTCAGACTGTGGAAAGGTGAAAAATTTGAGAAAAATATTTTTTTCTCAACAATTTGTAATAACAGTTTTTTCGAGTGCAGAAAACGAATATCAACTTTGTTTCTTGCTAAAAAAATATATATTTTGGCCTACTTTCCGACAAGGCTCGATCACAATTGTGTCCAGCGGAGGGCCGCTGATCCAACACAGTCAGTTTCTGTGGCTTTACCAACTTTAAACTCTTGCTGAGTTTTTCCTGCACTTTCATCCTAAAATTGTGCCTGGATGGTCATGGACCTGCAGTTTAGTCACTTCCGAACATTTAAGCCTGTCAGAGGTGTTTCACCCTAAATTCATCCGACAAGCCAGAACTCCCCTTGTCATCCTTTTTCAAAAATTTCACTTTCACCATCGTTACAGCGATAGCAAACATTAGAAATCAATGCAGCTTACACTGAACTCGCGTATTTACTCAGTTTTACTGGAAAACATTTAATCATGGATATGTAACCTAACTCTACCTAACCTAACTTAACCTAACCAGCTCAGCCCATGCGCACAACCTTACTCTACCTAACCTAACCTACCTTAACCCATGTGCACAACCTTACCCTATCTAACCTATAGACTCTCGGCTCGTAGACCACGTGGTCGTGGTTCAATTTCCACCATCGTCCCTGGCCCTTTTTTCACGCTACCCCCTCAACCCTATGTTATGAAACAATCACCGGAATAATACTCTGATTAACATGTGGGTTCATAAGGTCATTAATAAGGAAAAAACTAACCAAACTCAGCCCAAATGCACAACCTAATCCTACCTAACCTATGCTACTACTCAATCCATGACAACTCCACGGGAGTTGAGCTAATTTGTTTTAAACATGGCCTTTTCTTTAACATGTAAAAATGATTCTCTCTCTCTCTCTCTCTCTCTCTCTCTCTCTCTCTCTCTCTCTCTCTCTCTCTTTTCTTTCTTCATTTAATCATTTTTCATTCCTACAATTTTAGACAGTCTACACCAGATACATGTGAAAGAATCGATAATCTCAATAATACCGATATAATGAAACATTTAACGGATCCATGCCGATATGACAAATGGATAAGACCATCTGAAAATGGCGAGCCCACAGTAATATCTGCCATGATGTATGTCTACTTTCTAGGGTCCATCGAGGCCCAGAATCTGGTAAGTGAAAATATTTTGTTAAAATGTCGTACTACTATTTTAATTTTATATTTTCCTCTGCCTTCAAAAATAGTGTGCATTCCCAACCCCAAAGAAAGTTTCACATTTTGTCAGTAGCCCTTTTCATATCTATCATATCATATTTATTACCCACAATTTTTTGTCCTAAAACGTTTCCACATATGAGCAGATTAATTTTCAAAGGTATTCAGATGGCTTCTTGCTATCAGACGTGAGTCAGATGTATTTCTTTATTTTTATATAAGTCTAAATTGAACTGAGTGATCAACAGTGTGAACTTTGAATATTGGTATACATGCCCATGGGTTATGAGTATGTTCAAGATTTGATAATTAAGCTGTATCAATTATTTAAATGCAATAATAATCATTTTTATTAGTCTAATGGAATAATTAAATCTCTGGTTTTGAGAAAAAATAACAAAAATTAAATCTCTGGTTTTGAGAAAAAATAACAAAAATTAAATTGAGTCATTTTTTTAAGTATTTGTTGATATAGCCAACTGTACTTTAATAATTTATAAATAAGAGCTACTATTATTCATATAATGATTATTTCATTAGCAATTCACGGCACATTTGTTAGTGAGATACAAATGGCTCGATCATAGACTGAAATTTAATGGATCAATAACTGAGGGGGAAGAAACTTTGAGAAGTAAACTTTGGACACCACATCTGTATTTGGTAAATGAGCACGACAGTCGGATAATGGGTTCTGGAAAAGAAGATGTTCTTATTCAAATTCATCCAGACGGCACTGTTCATTACTCATCAAGGTGAGTTGATCGTACTTGTTAGTGCATTATGTACAGAAATATTACTTATTTGTTTTACTTATAGATTAAAAGTGACATTGTTATGCCTTATGAATCTCCAAAAATTTCCCTTTGACAGCCAACTATGCCCACTTGAATTAGAAAGTTGTATGTATTAAATTATACCCCTACTTTTTATGAGTGTTTTTTGCTTGCAAATATGAGTTTAATAATTTTTTTTTAAAACAATTTAAGGGGGCTATAATACAACCCAACTTCTTCTTGAATGGGAGAATGATTCACCAATATCTGTCAACAAAGAGTTACAATTGACTGAATATACATTGGTAGATACATGGACTAATAAAAGTATGAATATGTATGCAGTGCCGACAGGAAAATTAGGAAATTCAAGCATACACAACAGCAAATTCTGTAAGTAAATCACAGTATTAAGATAATTGAGACAATTCGTGCTTTGCACTTGCACTAACCCTAACCCTAATCCAACCCTAACCTAACTCTACCTAAACTAACCCTTTATAACATAATTTAATAATATTATATGAATAGGCTAGTTGAAATTTCCCAGCTAGAAAAAAAAACCTTTCTTAATCAACTGAAAACTAACAGAATTTAGTGTTTGCATGCCCTGGAACTCTTGCTTTCCTTCCTTTAATCCAATTATCAGTATAAACCATACTTTTAGTTTTTCCACTAAGAGTAGACTCTTGTTATCCATTTTTTTACTCGTCTACTCATCTACAGTTGCTCCCCTCTTTTTTAGGTGCATACCTGTTGATGTATGAACATATATACATATTGTTTTCCTGCAAAAGCTTAAGTATGTTGCCATACATTGTATTTTTCTTATTGAAAAAAACCTGAAATATATGAACGAACATAAGTTCACACATAGTATTGAAGATAGGCACACGATACAAAACGTGTCAAAAAAACAAAATTGGTATGCAGATAGAGAAATAAGCTTCAATACCTGAAATTCAAGGTGTTTCCTATTATCCGCGGTTCTCATTATCCATGGTGATACTTGGTACATTTCCCCCACAGATAATGAGTGTGTTCTATTGCCCTGAAAGTCCTCCTTAATCTACCACCACTACATTCATCCAGAGAGATGTTACACCCACAATTCACAGGTGTATGCATACTCAAATAAAAAGGAGCAATTAAAGCTTAGGGGCTTCAGGCAAACATGGTTCTGGAGACACCTGTTGACACCACAATCCCAAATTCACATTTGATATTAAAAAAAATAATAATTAAAATAGAGGAGACTGGGAGAAAGGGATCCTGATTTATGATGGCTAAATATGGTATTCAGATAGCTCCAAGACAGTAGAAGAATCCAAATCCGTTTGGGATAGCATCATGGTCCTGACAAACCTAGGGGAAAACAACAAAATTATCTTTGTTTGGGAACCAGGACATACACGGTAGAAGGGCAAGAAGGAGGCAAATTAGTCAATGAAAGTTCAGTCAAGACACCTATTGGTCCTTAACCCTTTTTTGAAATACCAAATTTCCAAAAATATAAATCAATCAGACAATAGGTTAAAGATAAGTTCTTATTCAAAGTGAATGTATTCCAGGACAGAGACATTGAACAAGTTTGTTAAAAGATACTTGTATAAACAGCAGAACTCTTAAACCTAGGACGTGTTAGGAGTGGAATGTTAGAAGGATTGATGACTCCAGAGACTTGTGTATAAACTTAAAAGATGTTGTTTTGGCTTTTCTGGGTAGGAATCTCAGCCTGCATAGGCTTTCATACCAATAGACATGTTCTCTATTTCCTCTTCCACCTGGAAAGATCTGCACAAGTTTGTTTCTGATGCTCTGAGTCTATACATATACCTCAGGAGTCTGTAGTGTGCAGTCAGAAGACCTACTATCATTCTAGGCCTAACACCTCCTAGGTTTAGTTGTTCTGCCATTAGTTTCTATGATGGTCCTTTGATGGTCCTTTCCTTTGTCCTGGGATGCCAAGGAAAGTTTGATGAGGTCACCTATCAACCCTGAACATGGGGCATACCAAACTGCAAAAAAATATAGATCTATCAGACATTGGATTAAAACCAAGTCTCTGTTTAATGGGAATGTAGCCCTACCATGAAAAAAGTTAAAGAATCATCAAAGAAACTAGTGGTAAGACTACGAAACCTAGGACTAGGACATGTTAGGAATAGAACGATAGTAGGACTGCTGACTCGGGAAGTATATGTGACTTGGAGCAGCAGAAATAATCCTGTGACAGATATTGCTATAAAAAAGAGACAGCAGAGCATGCCTCTGTTGATGAGAAGGCTTCCTAGGAGAGGAAAAGCCAAGGCTTGAAGGAAACAGACATGAATCCTTAAAAAAGCTTTAGGATCTGGTAAAAAGCTGTAAGCTTAATAAAGCCATAAAGAGTTCTAGAAAACAATGGAGATCACAATGGGCCGATACTAGTCATGGTGCACAGGTAGTAAAGAGACTGACTCCTAACCTAACCTAATCTGTCTACATTTTTGGAAAATTAGTATGCAAAAGATTAAAAATAGGTACACTGACTTTTCTTGACCAGTTTGCCTCCTTGTTGCTCCTCGGCCCAGTATACCCTGGTAATTCTAAGGCCCTAGTGATTTTGTTTTTCACAATGTATGATATGGCCTTGATGCAATCCCAAATGCTAGTGTGAAGGCCTTAGCAGGTTGAGATTCTTTCTTCTGCCTGAAAAAAAAGTCTTGGGTAATTGCACAATAAACAAATAGTGGTCATGGTTGAATAGGCCAAATCTTGATAACCTAAATATAAACTTACTTACTTAAATACACCACTGTAACAGCTCTCTATGGTACCGGGCAGAGAAGCAACGAGAAGACCAATAAATTGTTTAAGGAAAATTCAATAAGAAAACCCTTTTGCAGCATACGAAATTGTTAAAAACATAGATCCATGAGACTTCTTTTAACCTTTAAACTTTTACTTTTTAGTTTTCTCCTTATTTTCACATAAAAATGAATAAAAACTTTTTTCTTAATTTTAGCTGGTAATTACAGTTCTTTGATTGTATATTTTCAACTGGAGAGAGAAGTCGGACACTATATCATGGATTATTACGTACCCAGTATTCTCCTCGTTGTTGTCTCTTGGGTTTCGTTTTGGCTCGATCCAAATGCAGTACCTGGAAGGACCACATTGGGTAAAACAACTTTAATCCAGCTGTATATATTCATCTTATATGTGGGTTTTTTTCCGATTAATTATAGGAACAAGTACAATGTTGACTTTCATCACTTTATCAAGAAATATCGGAAGCTCGTTGCCGAAGGTTTCTTACATAAAAGCTACAGAAGTTTGGTTTATTGTCTGCACACTGTTGATTTTTGGATCTCTGGTTGAATTCGCTTTTGTCAACACTATTTGGCGAAGAAGGTAAAAACTTATTTCCGTTTAACATGATATAAATATTTATTTGTTATATTATGTTTTAACAAACTTATTAAAAAAAAAAACTGTCTGTATTGCAGACAATCTACATTGGTTGAATTAATTTTTAAAAACAATTCAGTTTTACTTAAGTTAATTGTTTTGGTTTTATTTTCGCACAGGAAAAATGTAGAATTGAAGAAGAAAAATAGCAGATATATTTTAAAATCGACATTAACGCCTCAACAAAAACGAAAAGAAATCGCAATCGATAGAAGCCATTCTTGTTCATCCCTCGAAGAGTCGAAGCAAAATTCAGCTAGTCACAGTCAGGTAAAATATGCGCAGTTAACAGTTTAAAACGTATATTTTCTTTTAAAATAAAAGAAATTGTTTTATAAATACTATTTATAAAATTAATAAAATTTAAAATAGATATGCAAGACTATTTGATATCTTTAAAAATAAAATCTCATAGTTTTAGTAAATTATTAATATTAATGTAAAGTTCAAGATTACAAATGGGAAAACTGATTAGATTTACATTACATCAGACAATAAATATTTGCTTTATTTTGCTTAATTTATTTGACCGTTTTGTTATAGGCTACATTGTGATTTTATCTCATTACTATATCACAGTTTACTTAAAGATTTTTTCTTATTTTCATTTTTTATATTTTTTTATGTAGAAAACAAGTCAGTTAACATTATCCGTTGAGTCTATCAGCAGGAATCCATTACCAAACAAAATATTTTTTGAAGACACTGATGAAAAGCCAGCTTCTCAGCATAAAGGACTTTTTACAATGACTCCACAAGAGATAGCACAATGGATCGACAAACGAAGCCGTCTTCTGTTTCCATTGATATTTATAATTTTTAACTGTTTATACTGGACATTCCTGTTAATAAAATTTTGATACAATTGTTTTAGTTTTAGTTACATCTATATTTTTTTATTAATATTATTTCAAACTTTAGCTTCCATCTTGTAGATTTATTTGGCATGTCTAATCAGAATATAAATAACCACAATTTAAACATGATGGAGAAAACTAACAAAAGAAAACCTCTTTGATATGGTAAAGTTTTTGGATAAACACAGTAGTAGAGAAGCAGAAAGTATCACAGTTTATTTAAATTGCTTTGTGTTGTGGTAAAACAAGAGATACACTGCTCCATGAGCTGGATGGTGCTTGTTAATAAATAAGTAATAAATTTTTTTTATGACAGTGAAGTCATATCAGCCCCCAGTTCACTGTGTGACCCAATGGAGTACTTGATATTCCGCCATCGGTCCCAAATAAATAAATATATACAGTACAGCTACACAATGATAATATATATTATACTTACAATATTTACAGATGAGAAAACACCCTTGTTTCTTGTAAAAATCGGAAAAGGGGACCCAACAACCCACTGTCATGCCCGAGGACTAGCTTTATATCAGGTGCCATGCCTACTCGCTCCTTGTAAGGGGTCAAGGTGCAGCACTCCTTGACCAAGTGTAACACACTGAACAACTTTTCTCTACAAGCGGGACACCTGCACACGGTTTCCCCTAAAAGCTGGTGTCTATGATCCCTTCTTTGCATATCAGATCCTTGGCGGCCATCTCTCAGTTTTGCTTTTGACAAGCAAGTGCTTCTCAGATGAACACAGCCAACGTTCTTTTATTGCGTTCTTTACTGCACGTATAGTGTCACAGGGCTGGATCGCGGTGGTTCTATCTGGTAATATTAGTAATATCAAAGAGAAATCTCCAATAGGAATAAAACTAAAATGGAGAGATAATAACAGTACATTGAAAAATCATTGGATACTCATGGCCCCAAGAGATTACATGAACAGGATGTTTGAGTTTAATCAAAATTCAATCAAATCAAAAAGGAATGGGAAAAAGAGAAAAACGCCTCCTTTAAGAATAGCACCATCTACTGGTACAGAGACAGATCTAGAATACAAGAAGGTCAGAGCAGGAGTACTCAGTCGTGGGACCAAATACTCATAACCCATAAATACACTAGTATCTTCCCAGGTAAGGTTCACATAATCAAAGATGTACCCAATTCAATTTGAATAAAGAGTACGAAAACAAAAACATAGCTATCATGTCAAATACCCAAGCAGCCATCAAAGGGCTAAGTTCAAACATGATTAGCTCAAAGATAACGCTGCATTGCAAAACTAAACTAAGCAAATTAGGTATGCAAAACAAAGTCAACCTCTATTAGGTCCCATGTGGAAGTATTGTAGAAGGCAGTGGAAAACCCTTGCAAGAGGCCTGCTATGCCACTGATAGGACCCTTCGGTGGCATAGGAATCCACACTATCAAGGAGCACCTCAGACAGAAGGATAAAAAGAAAATGAGGAATATTGGAACTCACTTATTGGGCACAAACAATCGAGGAACCTCCTAATAAACCTTGGAAGGAAAGAGGTAGCAAAGTGCTTTAAATGAAGAAGGAGAAAACTGTCAATCCTAACAGGACATTGCAAACTAAATGGACATCGTAAGAAAATTGGCATAATCCAACACGGTTATGGGGAGGCGTTTCCTTGAACGCCCACACCAAATCAATTGTCAGTGTTTTGTCTATCAGTGTATTACAGAGTCCTTCCAATCCAAAGCCCTCAGAATCATAGTCAATGCTCCCTACTATGTCTCCAACAACACCCTTCACAATGACCTCAAAATCCCTTTTGTGCAAAAAATAATTTCCAATCATTTTCCTCTTTCCACACTAAACTCTCCTCTCACCCTAATCGAGGTGCCCAATTCTTATCCAATAGAAACTACTCCTATAATCCTACCAGATGACTGAAGAGGAGATGGCCTTGTGACCTACTGAACGAGGATTGGTTCTCGAGTATAGCTGGGAGAACAACATTGTTTCTTAATTTCCCTCATGACACATGATCCATGGCAATTGTAAAAAAAATTAATGTTACATTACATGTTGTAAATAATGTTACAGCTTGCAATAAATAAATAAAAAAATTTAAAAAAAAGTCCTAAAGCATATTTACAATGGTATAAACTGCTCAAAAATCAATAGGGATATTTGTAATTTATTCTTATTTTATTCGTTTTAATTCAATTAACCAATATGTTCTTGTTAGTATGGATAAAACAAAATAGAAAATACAAACCAAAAGCAAAACATTTGTTAATCTACATTTTTAATAACGGATTTACTTAAGAAAGTAAGCATGAAGATTACTCATTTTGTAAATTCTCATCTTTTCTCCATTTTGATCCAGTTGTATTCTCTTCAATCATGGAAAGATATCATCTTGAACCAGAAGTTCACAATATTTTTGTTACAATGAATCATCCAGGTCACCGGCAAGTGGATATCGCAGAAGCAGTTGTTGTTTCTCAGAATGTGGTCTGCCAGCGTTAGCCCGATTCCGAGAGACTGGAAGTGCCAATAGAAGGCCTGGTAGTGACACCCTTTCCTTAGTGCACATCATATTTTAAATGAAGTGCAAGATGTTTTGGCAAGACCTTAATTAAACGATTATGAATCGTTTGTGGGAAGTTGGCCTCACATCGTATGCCTCTTTCAGATGACCTCCAGCAACAGCCTGCCACCAGCAACTCAGGTTTAGTATGGTGCAGCAAGCGCCTAGAAGAGAACACTAATTGGAATGCTGTTATGTTTACTGATGAGTCGTGTTTCTGCCTGTATAGTGATAGCAGGTACCAAAGAGTCCACCAAGAACTGGGTATGCGTACAATGCTCCAGTTCGTTCTGCCTTCAGTGCAGTTTGGAGGATGCTGTATAATGATCTGTGCTAGGATTTAAACTAGAGGACGAACTGAACTCCATTTTGTTGAAGGCAATCTCACTGCAATCCGTTACATCCCAGAAATTATCGAAGAATATATCCCTCAAACCAGGGATCTCATTGGCAGGGACTTTCGATTTCTGGATGACAATTCCAGACCTCATAGAGGCATAGTCGTTCATCAGTGTTTAGAAAACCTGGGAATTTCCAATCTGCCCCTTCCCCATTTGCTCCAGACCACATTCCCATTGAGCACATGTATGACGCATTGCAGACAAGGCTTTTCGACCACCATCCACAGCCAATTGACCTGCAACAACTGGGTGCAGCGTTCCAGCATCTATGGGGTGAAATTCCTTATGAAATTAGTGACAACCTTATTAACAGTATATCTAACAGGCACACAGAGGTTTTAGCTAAAAGAGGACATTATACATGGTAATAATTGTTTAAAAAAATTATTGTGTCCAATAAACAAAATTGTGGAATTAAATCCTTTTATTTTGTTATTTTTCAACTCCCTTAATTAGGAATAGGGATAGGGATAAAAGAGGCGGCCACAGGGCCTACTGCAACTCGACCTGAATAGATCTATTGTGCTCTCCTGTTATTTATAACTCACCGGGCAGCTTCAGGTTATTAATCAGCTTTCACAGCTTTGCCATTTCTAAGTTTTTCGAAAGATTCCTCCTACCAAGGCTCATATTACACTTGGAAGAAGTAGTCACACATAGCCAATTCAGGTTTAGATCCCTGCACCCCTGTCCACACCAACGCCACAGAGTTAATAGACATGTACAAGGGCAAGAAAGTCTGAATAGGGCTTTCATAGACACTGAAAAGGCATTCGAACAAGTGTGGCACCCAGTCCTATTAATGAAAATGAACCCTCAACTTGATGACTCTATGAACCGCATCTTACAATCGTACCTTGCAAAGCGAAGATATTCAGTGCGCTATGGTGAAGTCTTCGGAATTGAATCGGTATGCCTCAAGGAAGTGTACTGGGGCCTTTTCTCTGCCTTCTATTTTCAAGAGATTTCCCGACAAATATGCTTTTAAAAACAGCACACTTTGCTGACTATGTCACCATATTGGCAATAATACCAGTGAAAAAGTCCAGGAATTTGTGATCAGCTTCAACAATTGATAGTAGAGTGGACCCAACAAAGTCACATGTTGTCCAATCCACTTACCGTTTTCTGCAGGGAGAACCCGTAACATCTACAATATCGGTGCGATATTTAAGGCTACACCTGTAGGATATCGGGATAAAAGAGGCAGCCACAAGGCCTTCTGCACTTTGACCTGAATAGATCAGATTGTGATCCCCTTTCATTTATAACCCCCTGGCCAGCTTCAGGGGTTATAATACGCTTCAGGTTATTAACCAACCTCCACAGCTTTGCCAGTAAGTCCTGGTGGTTTTTTTTTGTCCTAGTTGTAAAAACCTGCACCTACATAGACTTTCACAGAAACATAGAATGTTTTCTGTGATCTCCTCCTCTTCCTGGCAGTATGTGCACAGTTGTTCTTCTGTCTGTCCTCCTATCCGGTGCATGTGCCTTCTTAATTGGGAGTGCCCTGTCAGGAGTCGAACCAGGATTCTGATCCGGTTGCGGTTACCTTCCAGTAATTCATTTGTAAATTTTGCAGATGGTCCTTCTAAGAATCTCTTCGTGTGCCTATACCTGTGGTATTGTTCCACCAGGTTTTGGACTCATTAAGGATCCATTTTAAATGTATCCTCTTTTGTGGCAGGCTGCTAAGCCACAGTAGAGTTCAGTCCATGTTGGCCCCCATTTTGGCCAATTTTGGCTTATGNTTACTAATCATGACTAACGGTCTGAGTGATCAATCATTAATCATTAGACATGACTAATTTTTGCCCAACACTGGTGTAGACGATATTGAAAGGTTGTGCAATACATTGCATGATTGACGAAAAGTTGAAAATATATTGTACAACCTGGAAAATATTGCACCGTCTGTTGGCATTATTGCGCAATATCAGTCAGTTTGTGAAGTATCAACAAGTGCTCAACTTGTGTCAGTTTGTACAACATTATTCAACGTTAAGAAGCAACCGTCAAATTATTGTGCAATCTGTATTGTACAATAATATTGACCGTCTATGGGCCGCTTACGGTGAAAGTTTAAATTCGAAATTTGGTTGCGTGTCAATTGGAAATGGCGCGTTCGATCGACGTCAATACTCGATTCTTGAAATAAACCCAAGGAGTTGAGTGTATCGATGTCGAACATTGTTTTAGGTTTCGGAGCCTCGCTTAAACCTTAAAACATGTGATCTTATTTCACGGTTGCAGTTACTATAAAGAACACGAGGTTGTTTTGGTGTTTATCCGTTGTTTTCGTGTTTATTTTTGTTTTAAATATTTCTCCAACAGTCGAAAAATGCCTTCGACTAACCCTTTACCTCCGAAAGAGAACTCACTGTTTAAAAGAATTTTGGTAAATGTTGTCCGTTCATTTTCTGTCCATTCATAATCAATAGACAAAAATTTTGTCCTTTTTTTTTTCTTCCATTTACAAGCCGGCGGATTGACATTTGATATCAAATAATGCTATTTGTCAATGTCATTTTTTTTTTTTTTACTTAGTCCGCTGTTTTAATTTCGTGACATTTTTTTGTTTTTTAGAAATGCTACGAGCACAAGCAGTATAAAAACGGCCTCAAATTCGCCAAACAAATACTTGCGAATTCAAAATTCGCCGAACATGGAGGTTTGTGATTATTTTTACTTGTAATATTAATAAAGGCTAAGATCTACGATTCAGAATTTTGTTAGCTTAAGGTCAGGCGCCCATGAGCAACTTCCTGTCGTGCAAGTAAAATTAGTAAAGAAACTCTACTGATTACTGATTAGTCGATCCTATCACTTCTAACAGCCCAACAAAAATGCTTTTGTGATTTTTTTACATTAAATTACTGGTAGGCCTCGAGAATCGACCAACCCTGGTTTTGCCAGTCCGGGGTCCAACCTCAGTCATCCATCCAGCAAGGTTGGTCTGCAAGGGCTATCAACAGCTTGGTCGTTTCAGCCCCCAATGCAATCAGTCTCCCAGAATAGTGCATTAAACTCAGCCAGAAAATAATGCAGCTTTATGGTTATAAGATAAAATAATTTAAATCAGTGGTTCCCAAACTTTTTTGACCCATGGACCCCTTTTTAAGGTCAAAAATTGCCCACGGACCCCCCANACAAATTAAAAAAAAAAGTTTTGTTAAAGAAGTATTTTTGAAATTATAAATAAATATAAATTATAATATGAATTACTTTTGTTTAAAATAAAATATAAAAAATTAACGACTTGGATGAACCGGATGAGATGTTATTAGTGTCTAATTTCTAATTAGTTTCTTTCTTTTGTGATGAGCTTCATAACGGCACTGAATCCACGATCTGCCAAATAGAAAGACGGGAAAGTAGTCAACTTCTGTACAATAACCCATAGTGCAGGATATAAAATTGGGATCTGTTTTTGTAACCAGAATTTGTGATATCCTTGTTCAAACATTGGTTTAAGTTCCTAATTTGTGGATATTTCAATAAGCTGCTCCTGTATTAGTATGGATTCATCTGTGTTTGGGATCTGAGTTTGTCCACGCTCAAAAGGGTTCAACACCCAGTCAGGAATATCCAAGTGAAGAATGTCTTCAAATCTTTGGTTCAGGTCTGTATGAAGAGGCGTTAAGTGTTGACAGTAAGCAAGCAAATCTTCATCTCTAATTTGCTATGTCGAAAGATTTGGAAACTGAGAGCATTCTCCTCTTCCCAAGTTTTGTTTGTAAAGAAAAATTTTTGCAACAAACGCAGAGATTAAGCTTTTAGTTTTGATTGAATTTAATTGGTCACCTTGTAGTTTCAAATTAGTTTCGTTAAATTTGGCAAATAAATCAGACATAGGCTATGTCATTTTTTGAGTTAATTAAATTGTGTCGCAAATCATTGTCCTTGGTTTCCAGGAATTCCAGCACTGAATCAAAGAGCGCATATAATCGATTTAAACATGCACTTTTAGATAACCAATGTACTTCTGTTTTATATTATTATTTTTATTATTTTATATTAAACCTTGCACGGACCCCCTGACGTTGTTCAGAAACCCCCAAATCAATTTTAATTTTCCACAGACCCCCCTGAATGATACTGGGGACCACTGGGACCACTTTGGGAACCACTGATTTAAATGAATGATTTTACACATTTTTATTAATTAAAATACCCTCCATCACTCTTAATGCACTTCTTCCAATGTGATAGCAATTTCTCTATACCTACCTCTGAATAGAATTTTGAGTCTTCATTATTAACAAATTCTATAAACCCATTTTCTAACGACTTTTAGTCAATAAATTTCTGAGGTTGTAAAATGTCCAGGTGTCTAAAGAAATGGTAGTCGGTAGGCGAGAGGTCTTTAGAATAGGTAGGATGAGTCAGAACCTTATAACCATGATCCAACAGTTTTCATGTGGTCCAATGTGAGACAAGGGGCCAAGCGTTGTCATGTAATATAATCGGCCTTTGCTGATTGACCAAAGATGGCTTCAGTAATGCCAGTTTCTTGTGCGTAGCTTCAATTTGAGAGCAATTCATTTCCATATTGATCGTTTCGACACGATTCAAGAAGCTGTAATAATAATAATAATAAGCCCAAATGAAGCCCACCAAAAAGTCATCACCTTTTTTTTATGAGTTGGAAGCTTTGGAAAATGTGATGATGCTTCTCCTTTGTCGAGCCACTGTCCAGAATGTCTGTAGAAAATCCACTTTTCATCACATACAATTCTATCCAGAAGGTGGTAAGTAATGGTCGATTTGCTAACCGAAAGATTCTCTGCAAGTTCTCAAACAGTTGTTCTGGGATTTTCTTTGATAAAAGCTCGCAGAACGTCACCATCTAAGGAAGAAGTCCTTGCACGACCTTCTTTGTCTTCCAGGCTAAAGTCTTCTTGAAATTTTTTAAACCATCTCTGAACGATATTCTCACTCCACGCCATTGCCCGAGACTTCTTGAATGTGTCTGGCCGTTGGGCACCATTCCGACTGAGTTTAAACTCGTAAAACAAAATTTTGCAAAACTCATTGACACCTTAGTAAAGACTGAATTATTCCAAAGTAATGAACTGCTACTGAGGTAAACATTTTTGTTTGGAAGAGGATTAAAAAGTGTTGACATTAGTACAAAAGAATAATTAATCAAATGTAAACAATTTATTATATAGAGACATTACAATCCAATAGAATCATACCTGTGAATTGTTCAAAGTCCCACTACTGCTGTTCAATTGTTAGAGGCTTCTAAATGAAGCTACAGTTTGCTTATAATTAGAATAAAATGGGAAATGAGAAGTTCGTGGTATGGGTAATCGCAGCCCAGTAGCTCAAGTGATTAGAATATCGAAGTACAGTTCCAAAGATCATGGGTTCGAATCCCACCTGTGGCACTAATTTTTCATTATGAAAAACCGTGTATAGTAAATTACCAGTCAACTAACCCAGGTTTTGGCAGCCTTTGGGTCCAACCTTGGTCTTATCTGTCCAGCTAAGGTTGGGCTCCGGGTGCTGTCAACATCTAGGTCATTGACAGGTCATCCAAAGCAATCAATCTCCGTCAATCTCAATTCGCACTCTTATTAACTCTTAAATACATTCTTTCTTATATGCATGCTCTTCACTCAGGATGGTGGAGTTTTTGATATTCTTCCATTACCATTTATACCTAATTGTATAATTAACCTAAGTGAAGGTCAATAGGTACTCAATATTCCTCCATTAGCCCTCTCACACTACACATTAAACCTAATAAATTTCAGTCTCAATACATAATAAAAACACAAAACTAGGCGAAAATGGGATTCAGGGGGCTTATTTTTTGGCCAACATATCTGCCCTCTCATTGCCTCTATTCCCAAATGCCCAGGGACTCAAGCCAGCATCAGGTCATTGGTGATGTACATACGAACATGAGAGAGAGTTGAGCCTATCACTTCTCGCAGCTCATTGGCAATGCTTTTGTAATTTGTAATAAATTACCAGTAGGCCTTGAGAATCACCCAGCCTAGGTATTGGCAGTCCTGGGTTCAACCTTGGTCCTCTGCGTCTGTGCATGCATGTACGTACATGAGAACAAATTGAGTCTACCATTTTTTAATTTACAATAAATTACTAGCACGCCACGAGAATCACCCACCCCCAGGTGTTGGCACTCCATGGTCTGTGCGCACGTTTCCATATAAATGTGTGTACTTCATGGGAATGACAAACTTGTGTGTGCCTGCCCTATCATTAGCCAATAAAGAAAAAATATAAATTTTCATCTCTACTAACCCTCAGGTTTTCTAATATCAGTCACTTTAACAACTAATTTACAAATAGTTAATACAGATTTTTATTATCCAGAGACAGATGTGTTTCATAAATACTGTGGCCACTTTTATGACTTTCTATGAGAAATAATTTTCTGACATGTGAAAGGCCAGAGAGTATTACTTGAATTTTGCCTTTTGTCATTAAATTTCTACCAGGATTAGAAAATAAAATTATTTGTAAATTATGTAAGAAAAATAAAACAAATAGTGCCAGTAAATCAGATGAAAAAAAATTCTTTTCAATTAATTAAGGTTTGGTTGAGATAAAAAGGCAGTGTCACAAGCGCGATCCCACAACCAAAACCTTAATTAATTGAAAAGAATTTATTTGGTCAAGCAGACCACAAAACCTAATAAAATTAAAACAAACAGTTCAAAAAATTAACCTGATAGGGATAGTTTTGTGTCCCATATGTTGTATTTTTTATATTTTTTGAGGACTGATTGTGCATTAACATTCCACGAATGGCCACCCCGTCTGTTTCGTCCTTATAAGTTAGTTTTAGAGTAGAACAAAGTAATAGATTCAGTTTTGCAAACTACAAAACATGAACATAATCGTAACCCTACCTAACATGACCATTCCTAACCTTTACTCTATGTAATTAACTATTACTACTCTAACCATAATATTCTTAGCCTAACCTAATCATAACATGCTTTATCTACCCTTAAAACTCTACCTAACCTAACAGCTCCTAATGTAACCCAAACTTATCTACCCTAACCCTACATGATCTAACCATTACTAACTTAACAGTACCTGATTATAACCATTACTAACCTAACTTTAACCCTATCTAACCTAACAGTTCCTAACTCTAACCATTCTTAATGTAACCATAACATTCCTAACCTAAAAAGTTAGGTTAGGGATGCAATAAAAGTTGGGAAAGTGGTTAAAAAGTTAGGGTTAAAGAACCCTAGCTAACCTAACAGTTCCTAATTGTAACTGTTCTAACCTAACCTAACCCTAACATTATCTAAATCCCTTAAAACTTATCTAACCCTAACTGAACCATTCCTAACCCTAACCCTACATAATTTAACCATTACTAACCTAAACTGTAGAATCTTAACCCAACCTAACCTTACTGTTCTTAACTCTAGCCCTACATAATCTAACCAATCTTTTTAAAAAGATAGTTCCTACTCACAGATAGTTGTTTTCAATGATCTGGATTTCAAGCTTATAGCTCATCAGTTGAAGGAATTTACAACCTGATGCTGAGTTCGTGAAAACTAACTGTGAGTAGGAACTATCTTTTTAAAAAGATTGAACAACACACTCACCTCATCATTTATCATTTCTATTAGTCTAACCATTCCTAACCCTAACCTCATCTAAAAAAGCATGTTTTTCCTTTCCTCTTTTCCTGCAGTTCCTAAGAAAGACATTTACAGGCACTCTCCACTTGTTTCAAAAAGGGCACAAGGAATGTGTGGTTTTGATATTTTATTTACCTCCTATTCTTAGCTGATTGATGAGGGGAAAATGGGTTTTCCCATTTTGTTTTTTCTCATATGCGTATATGTACAAAACCGTGGGTCTATAAATTGGAAGGCTACACTCGACGAGTGTAAAAATTGTAATATATATTAAAACTCATGATATAAGCCCGTAAAGTTATGCTCAAGTTGACCTGAGTTGCTATTGGATCATGATCCCATAAAATGCATTTCTCAACTGTCGAATGTACTAGGTTTGTGAGAAGTTCAGTGGGTTCTGCATCCCTGAATCTTCCTCTTCAAGACTTACAATTTACCAAGCACTAGTCTCTTTTCGTGTGGGACTAATGTTTAATAAACTGAAATACTTTTCAACTAAACTACATGAATTCCCAGGACAACTAGTGATAAATATGTGACCCTGATATCCTGTTGATTATGGTAACATACATTATATCCCAAAATAAAATATTACCAACTGGTAAAGCTATTACCAACAAAATTATGATAAACTGACCCACTTTTAGTCTAATAAATGAATTGTTCAGTTTATAGACTTAATTAACTTACAAATAAAAACTTTAATATATTTTGTATTAAATATTTTTATTTCTCTAGAAGTACTAAATAAAAATAAATTTTGTTTATATCAAAAATTATACTTTACGATGATTGATTAATGTATTGTATTGTTTAAACCATCAGAAACCCTTGCTATGAAAGGTCTGACACTAAATTGTCTCGGACGCAAGGAAGAGGCATACGAACACGTTCGAAGAGGATTGAGAAATGATTTAAAATCTCATGTCTGCTGGCACGTTTATGGTTTGCTTCAGAGGAGTGACAAAAAATACGACGAAGCCATAAAATGCTACAGAAACGCTTTAAAATGGGAAAAGGACAACATCCAAATTCTTCGGGACTTGTCTCTCCTTCAAATTCAAATGCGAGACTTAGAAGGATATCGGGTATGTACAAATATTTAATAGTAATATTTTAAATTAATTTTTTTAATTTTAATTTTTTTAAAATTATTATTATTTTATTTTTTTTGTAGTGTGGTATTTTAAGTTATTCTAGTGAAAATGTCTTGAAAGTTATATACATTAATTTTATGATATGGTGATATTCTATCTAATAGAGAAAGAGTCAGCAATTTTGTAAATCTTGTTGGAAATTGCCTTCAAAATTGAATAGACATCAACGCAATCAAAATAAACATAAAGAAATGCATATAAAATCCAACAGAATATTACTATTTCTAAAATTTACCGGTTTTACCTTTACCTCAAATTTTATCTCAAAATTTCGGTTTGTTTATTTTAGGACACAAGGTACCAGTTATTCATGCTAAGGCCGACCCAACGAGCTTCATGGATCAGTTTTGCCATGGCTTATCACTTACTTAAGGATTATGAGATGGCTTTAAAAATTTTGGATTCATTCAGGAAGACTCTTGTATCGGTGAGTGGTATAATTATTATCTTTTTATATATTACTATTTTTTGTTGTTGTTTTTTTTGTCAGGGTTGTTATGACTATGAGCACAGTGAACTACTTTTGTACCAAAATATGGTAATTCAAGAGTCAGGTGATCTTGAGGGAGCTCTGAAGCACTTGACCGAATGTGAGAGCCAGATATGTGATAAATTATCTGTAGAAGAAACATTTGGTAATTCTTTTTTAATAACTTTATATTAGATAGAAATGAATAGAAAGTGAATATGAGTTAGGATTGATGAGCTTTTTTAACTAACAATGGAAAGCGATGGACGTGGGATCACTGATTTTAATGGAACTTTTTTTGTGATTCTAAGTGTATTAGATTTAATTTAGAATTGTGTCTAAGAGGACTTGACAGTGGGTCCTATGAGGTGAAAAAAAATTTAAACCAATTTTTTTTTAGTATGTTTTTCCACGAAGAGATATACGAAAGGTTCAAAAATCAAAAGATGTTTTCAGTAAATTAGGTCAAAAAATATTTTTTTCTGAAAAACACAATTTGGATTCATTTTGAGCACTCTTATAAAGAGAAGTGTTAGTTAAGGCATTGATACGGCACTCATCACTATAAAGTAAAGATCTCGGATTCGAATCTAGTGGCCCTGCATATGAACCCAACATACTTGCAAATGGGTTTGCTTCAAAAACGCCTAAAAAAAGCTAAACTTTTCTACATTCAGCTCATGCCAACAGTGTTTAGGTTTTATGTCAATACAAGAGAGAAAAATAATGATGAAATAAAATATATTAAAAAAATCAATTAATTATACTTCTTATCTGAATTAATTGAAAAAANTCAACCCCACCTTATGAGTTTTCCCTCCTTTTTGCCATTTTTCATACGGTTTCATAACTCATAAGGTGGGGTTGAGATGGGAAGTTAATGTCCGAGTGGATCGAGGTCACGATAGCTCAAGTGGTAGAGCAGCAGCGTATCTAGCCGAAGATCGTGGGTTTGAATCCCGCTCGTGCCATTAACTTTTTTTCATCTCAACTAAAAACCTTAATTAATTATAATTTATTTTATTTATTTTTTGGGGGGATGCGAAAAATGAATATAACCTTTGTTCTATCTATAAAAGTATTTTAACATACAACGTTGGTCAGCCACTATGCCAAAATGGTATTTGGCAGCTTGCCTTTGTTCTATCTATTAAGTATCATAGATATTGAAATTATATAATTTGAGATGAAGCAATTTAACCAGCAAATACAAATTTTTATGGCAAATAAAAAAGAAACAACTTTGGGCTTGATTAGACCGTTTTTCTAAATTGTCTTGTCATTCCACTTAAAAATTCATAATTCAACGTAGCACAACTGTTGGAAAGCTGGTGAGTTTTTCTTTCATCTTATTTCAATACTACTTAGACGTTATGCTATTATTTGTGAGAGAAAATTGTGAAATCAACAAAACCACCTCAAACGTTTTATTTTATAGCTAAGGTTCTGATTTATTTATGGAGGTGACGGTTTATGCTAAGATGTGTAATTTATAAGGATCTATTCCTGTGTAAGGTATCTGATAGATCATTGGAGTTATTACAAAGTTATTAATATGTAATAATAATTTCCACATGCCTAAATTTTTTTTACGAAAATCACGAAAATAGTTTTAACTTTGAAACACCTCCATCGATTTATTGGAAATAAAGTTCGATCATTTTTTTCGTCCTTATTTCTCTCACTTATAAAGGCATAATATTGAAATGCTGTTGCTTTCCAGTGGTGATATAATTGTTCAATGTGAATAAAATCCAGAGGAGTTAACACCAAATTATTTTTTTATATAATAAAAGTTGGTATTTAAAGGCTTTAAAAGTTCCTTAAAATAAATCAATTGATTTGTTTTGATTTGATGAATAACAAATTCTTTTCACCTTCCTGGAAGTGTCTTGATTTTTGTAACTTTTTTTATATATCTAATCTCATTAGATACGATATTGCTCATTCTTATCGTAGGTGAAAAAACAAATTGACTAATGACCTTGAAATAGATGCACAGCACAAGCAGAAATCCATAATTTAACAAATTACATGAATTTCTGAATATTCTTGACTCCTATGGCTTCCATTGGTAAGAACGCTCCAACACTTATCCAGTATTTTGACTTAGTATTACAAAAAAAAGTGTCATTGAAACAAATGATCTCTCATCCAAAGCTTTCCCTTGTAAGACTTCATTTAATTATTTATATTCTAAAGTAAATTTTGGAGGTTTATTAATGCAAGCATTCATGTAATGTTACTATGGGAAAAATGCATTTTTCCCCTCTACAATTATTACATGGTTAGTTAAATAACAATTATTGTTTTTTCATTGCTAGCCCAACTATATTTAATGCTTGAAAAATATGAAGAAGCTGAAGTGCAAATACGCAAGCTCTTGGCGCATAATCCTGAAAATACCGGCTATTACAATATGTTGGGGAAAGCGTTGAAGCTTAAGACTGATGAAGAGCAAATAGAATTATTGCTAGATCTTGTGGAAAAGAATCCGAAAACACTAGTGCCTCGCCGACTGATTTTGAACTATGCCCAAGGTTTGTCAATCAGTTTTGAAAATTTTATATTACGATTCTGTTTGTTTAATAATGTTTTGTGGTTTCTTCTTTCAGGTGAAGTTTTTCAAGTGTCTGTAGATAAGTATTTAAGAACCGGATTGAGAAAAGGTGTTCCTCCTTTATTTGTGGATGTTAGATCATTGTATAAAGACTGTAACAAAGCACAAATAGTGGAGAACCTTGTCTTAGCTTACAAAGATTCTTTGGAAAGGATTTCGTTGTTTCCTACACGATTGGATGCAAACGGTAAGACACGCTTATTATTTATTTTATTGTTTGCTTTACGACTTAATAAAATTTTGTTCCTTCATTGTAATTTTTATATTATTACAGATGATGTACCAGAACCTCCTTCCACCCTATTGTGGACATATTACTTTTTAGCTCAACACTATGACTTCTTCCGCCAAACTGAAAAGGCATTAAAATATATAAATATCGCCATTGAGCACACACCTACGCTCATAGAATTGTTTGTTACCAAAGCGAGAATTTATAAGGCAAGTGACATGATTACTTTGTACTTTTGTAACATTTTCTATTAATTAGGGTATATCAAATAGAAATGAGACTTTTGTTTCTGGGGGTGTAATTTTTAAGTGAGTGATTTTAGAGTACATTGGGTGTCCGGGATCAAAGTTACCTTAGCATGTTAATTACGTCATTGGTTTGTACACTTGTAATTTGACACTCCTGAAATTCAGACATTTTTTTATATTTTGAAATTTATTTAGGTTCTTTAATGACGCTTAATTAAAATTTTTTTTAAAAAAAATAGCTATTTTATATTTTTGGGTACAGCCCATTTATGGGAAGGTAAAGTTAGTCAAATTTGCAATATCTTTATTAAAAATATTTTTTATTTATTTATTTTTCAAATGGGGGTTCACAACAGCAGAGGTCATACCAATCCTTGGGGTAACTGTTTTTGAAAAAAGCCTATTTGTAAGAATGTTGCGTTGAAATGCAGGTAAGGAGGGAGAGAGAGAGTGTGATAGTGAGTGAGTGAGTGAGAGAGAGAGAGAGAGAGAGTGATAGTGAGTGAGTAAGTGATAGTCAATGATAGCGAGTGAGTGAGTGGGAGAGAATGATAGTGAGTGAGAGAGAAAGTGTGTGATAGTGAGTGAGTGAGTGATTGTACATGATAGTGAGTGAGAGAGTGTGATAGTGAGTGAGTGAGTGAGAGAGAGCGAGAGAGAGTGTGTCCACAAAATTTTTTATAAATCTGGCACTTGAATTATTGAAGGTTTGACATTAACATGAAATAAATTGGTATAAAATACAAAATATAACAATCAGAACTTAATACAAAATATAAAAAATGGAAACAATAGTACTAAAAATAAGTATTAAGGTAAAACGTAGTAATAATAAAGAATACTCTGTGATGTGCGATCATAATCACAAACTGTAAACTTAAAAGTTGTGAAAAGGAAAGAAACACGCTTTCTTATGTAGAAAAAGGACATAATAATATTGTGGACTATGTTGTCTCTATCTAGAGGGAGAGTGGTGTTTGTACAGGAGGGATTTGAAAGAGGTATGGGAGGTGTGGCTATGCAGTTTGGCAAAGGAAGAGTATTCCAGAGATTTGTTGCTCAATCTACGAAGGATCGTTCAAATGGGGAGGTTTTATGACAAGGAAGGTATAAGTCATTGGGAGATGAGCGGTTGTTAAGAGAGTTGATAGAAGATTTGAATTGTCGTAGCTTGAAAATATAGTGTGGTCAATGAGAATTTATGGATTGGTAAAGGAAGTTGCCTAGGAATTATTTCCTATAGAAGCTGGTATTCAGCCAGAATAGGTCTGAATACAGGTATGAGACTCTGGACATTCAGGGGTGCTGAAAATAAATCTGGCGCAACAGTGTCTTTTCAGACGCTTTCTTATTCTTCTGAAAATCCACCATAAGTGAGACAGCTGTAGTCGAATAGGGGAAAGATGAAGGAGGAGACAAAGAGTTCTCGAGTAATGGAAGATAGAAAGAGCAGAATCTAATGTTGGATGCAACACAGCATCAGGAAATTTGGGAGATGTGTGGTTTCCAGGAAAGATTTTGGTTGAAGGTAACCCCCCTTAAGGTTTTTAACAGTCGAGCAGAAGGAAATAACCAGCCCAAGACCACAGGATTCGAACCCACGACCTTTACCTTACAGTGATGATCACCATATCAACACAACTGTTGCAGCGCCACCAATGCCCTAGTAGTATCTATTGTTTACCCACTCAATATTTTTTGAAAAACAAAAAGATTACCATCAAGAGAAATGTATTTCACAATGATATGATAAAAAACACCTATTATGGTTTTTTATTTCAAAAATTGTAAAAAAGTCCAAAAGGTCCAATCACAAAATGGACTTTTACTAAAGCGTGTGGAACCAAGTCAATTGGGGGGAAAAAATCAACACCCTACAACAAGCTTTAAAAAGGAGGGGTTTTCTAGAAGAGGTGTGTAATCATCTGTATATGTGGTAGGGTTCCAGAATGACGCCTGAATAACATGTTAAGGCGGGTTATGGGATATGAAGATTTAGAAGAAAAGGAACAGGCTGACTAATTAGTAAAAAAAAACGAGTCACCGCTCTCACCCATGGGGCCAAAACCACAGCAAGGCCAACCGAGAGGGCTAAAGTTGGAGCTTAAAATAATGTCTTGAGATAAAACTGAAGCACTGGACAAAAACACCTGGTATGAGGCAAGCTAAGAAATTTAAAAATACTCCCAGCAGGCAGGTTTTAGGAAAATTATAAGCCTCTATACCAGCCATTGCCCTGTTAACTACCACCTAAAGAAGATGAGCAAAGCAGAGACAGAAACTTGCCAACTTCCAGAAGGAACCAACAAGATTGGCACATATCCATTGTGAATGTGTAGCACCAGTCTAGCTACAGTAAAGCCACTCCTGTCTACTTTGACCAAAGCATCCACAAAAGACCAATTTTGTTTTGTTTTAAAATCAAAGGGACTGTGGTATCCGCTTGGTCAGCGTGTTTAACTGTTGACTCATAGACTTTATGGTCATGTTTTTAATTCCTTCTATCACCCAGGCTTTTTTATCATGCTCCTCGTCCCCCCTGTCCCCTGAAATATGCATATATCATCAACCTTGTCTCCCTGGTTAATAAGGAAATATAAAACCATTAAAAGGGGACTGCGGTGGCTGAGTGGTTAGGGCATCCAACTCATACTTGCCATGCTAGCACAGTCCAGGGTTTGAATCTCGGCAGAGCCCATGGCTTTCTTGAATATGCAAAATGTATTGTTAGGTAGTATGACCCCCCTCATATGTGACACCCAATGGTGATTTGGACATTAAGCTCTTCTTTATGTCTGGAATTACTTTTCTTTTTTAATACTTTGAAGCCATTAAAAAAAGTTTTACTTATGTTTGATATAAACTGTAAATTGTTACCATAAGTAATGGATATTTAAAGTTACTTTTTGATTGCAGCACGCTGGTGATGTGTTCAAGGCATATCATTGGGTAGATGAAGCTCAAGCTTTAGACACAGCAGATAGATACATAAATTCGAAATGTGCTAAATACATGCTCAGGGCCAACTTAATAAAGGAAGCCGAAGAAATATGTTCAAAATTCACTAGGGTGAGTGATCACTCATTTTACTTTTCTTATGGCTCTATTTTATAACATAGCAATTGATATTTCTTAAGTAAAATAAATGGTTTAAACATTTAGAAAATAAATATTTGCCTTAATAAAATTTGTTATTGCTTTGCAAGTATAGCATTTTATATTATTTATTAATTTTGTTTGTACGATTTATCTTGTATAATTTCGATGTTTAGGAGGGAGTTTCAGCCATGGAAAATTTAAACGAAATGCAGTGTATGTGGTTTCAAACAGAATGCGCATTAGCATATCAAAGATTAGAAAATTGGGGTGAAGCATTAAAAAAGTGTCATGAAGTTGAACGAGTAAGTAATTTTTAAATACTCACACACGAGAAACTTAGTTATAGAGATACTAATCTTGTTATATTTTAAGACAAGACGTTGTACAGCTTTCTTTGTGATTATTTAATGTTTTTAATTTGATTTAATGTTTTTTTACAGCATTTTTCTGAAATTATAGAGGACCAATTCGACTTTCACACATACTGTATGAGAAAAATGACATTGCGTTCATATGTTGGTCTTTTGCGTTTGGAAGATGTTTTGCGAGCTCATCCTTTTTATCAAAAAGCGGCTCATTGTGCGATCCAAGTCTACCTCCGATTACATGATCAGCCCATTAAGGATCAAAAAATTGAGGAACAGTTAAAATTAGGTAAGTGATAATAGTAACTCGCTCTTCATTTTCCTGTTTCACATTAAAGTGCCACTTACTATCTTCCATATGGTTTTTCGGTGCATTGGTTTGTCTATTTTAAATTTACCTGAATTATTAAAATATGTTTTTCCTGCATCGTTCACACCGAATTTACACTTCATGTAATGACTCGAATAAGTAAAATAACACATAAACCCATCATGAAGATTATGAAATGCTGGAATACATTAGACCATCCAAAATGGTGAGAATAGGCGGAATGACAAGAAATGACTCAACATTTTGAAGACTCCACACAATTTAACACTGCATTTACATTTAGCCCACTTTTTTGGCATGAGCAGTGGAAGTGGGCATTAAAGTAAAGTGGGTAGTACGAGTATTTAAACAGGTCTCTATCTTTCCATGCTCTTGCCAATGCTGTTGTCCATTTACATTATGCTTTCCCCTTGAGGTAACAATCGAACTCATTTACAATATTTTGCTTTACGAACTACTACTATGGAACCCATCTGATAAAAAATATAAATTAAAGCACAAATTGTATGATGCCCGATGAGTATGAATGTGGGTTATATTTTAATATAAGACTTAAAAGAAAAGAAAAAAATTCTTATGGCTAAATTTAGGTGATTATTTAAAAAACAGTGAACACACATGATGCAGTACAGCGCGTTGTGACCCAATGCCACTCGACACCTTGTCGTATGTTGATGTGGTGAGCACATCAGTTCGACACAATCCAGTCGCCACTCAACAGTCACACAGTGTATATCACAGTAGTACATGGATAGCTATGAGGAAGACATGGTAGAAATGGCAGCAGCAGTGATCTGCTTACTTTCAACAATGAACAGAAAAGCTTGCGTTCATGAAGTGAATGAATCACTGGAGGTGTTTCTAGCATATATCACATATATATTTATTCTTATATTAGAAAAGGAAGAAAATGCTGATCGATTCAGTATTTTGTATTTTTGGATGATGACACATCAGTTTGATTATCTGCATGAGGCAATAAAGGAACAGATCAGGAAACCTAATTCTAATTATTATATACCATTTACCACATATATAAAATATATATACACTCAACAAATTGTTGTTTATTTCAAAGTGTATGTATTTTTATTACATTTAATTAAGGTTTTTAGTTGAGATAAAAAAGTCAATGGCACGAGCGGGATTTGTACCCACGATCTTCGGCTAGATACGCCGCTGCTCTACCACTTGAGCTATCGTGACCTCGATCCACTCGAAGCTTGAAAAATGGCAAAAAGGAGGGAGTGGAGTTGAGATGGGAAGTTAGTGTCCGAGTGGATCGAGGTTACGATAGCTCAAGTGGGAGAGCAGCGGCGTATCTAGCCGAAGATCGTGGGTTCAAATCCCGCTCATGCCATTGATTTTTTTATCTCAACTAAAAACCTTAATTAATTGTAATATATTAATTGGTCAAGCGGACCACGAAATTAGTGAATTTGTATTTTTATTGTTATATTAATGACAACATACTTCTGTTGATGTAAGCCACATTAAACAAGATTATTAATTCATGAATTTTAATTTTAAAAAATATTTAATTATAAGGGTTTAAAAAATCACCAAAACACTAGCAAATCATTTAGTGAATGAATAAAATTTAACGAACCATTTTTTTTAAACCTAATTTTGCTTTTAATGTGTTATTCTGAGCAAAACGAGGTAACGAATTGTTAGTTGTTTTCATTCTATCACTAATGGTATTCCAGTGTTGTGATAAATTTTCTGTCGAACAATAATAATTCCATAATTTTTATTACACTCCTGAATTCTTGATTAATTTTGTTAATTTGATTTACATTAAAATGAGCATGTTGCAATTAATATAACAACAAAAATACTTATAGTTGGAAATAAACAACAAATTATTACACACCACCCAATGCTACTCGATGAAAATCGGGACGGGGACCTTGGTTGCATCGCATAGTGTAGAGTAGAGTGGTGGTGCGTCACGTCAGGCAAATTTACTCTCGAGTAAGAGATTCTTATGGAAAATTGTACATCAGATTGGCATTGGGTCACGTTGTGTTGCATTGGGTAAGTGTGTTTTCCTCTTTAGGCTCATCATTGAAGCTGCACTGATGTTCTCCATTGCCCGAGGTTGGCGTGAAAGTGGGAATGGGAAGTAGCATGAGAGGTTTTGTAAACACTCACTGCCTTTGATCCGGCCACAGAAGATTTTGTTGTGTTACTGGAGAGTATGCATGGGTTGTTTTAGGCTAGGTAGGGTTAGGGTTAAGAAGGATTTCAGGAAATAAGTATGGCAGCATGAGAAACAGTGGCAATGGTGAATGTTGTATGTCAGCTCATATATNTATATATTAAAATTTGGGAAGTATTATGAACTGAGAATTTAAACATGTAAACAATTAAAAACATGTAATTAGGCATAAGTGATTAACATAGAAGACAAAAAAAGAAATATACTTTTATAAATATGTATTTAAAAGTAAGGACATGACATGTAAGATGTTAAAAAAAATGACCAGGGCTTAAATAACCATAAGGGTTGATTGACGTTAATTAAAAAAAAAAAAATAAATAAATAAATTTAAAAAAATCTGTAACTCACCTGTCCCTAACCATACCTAAAGTAACGACCTTTGTAAGATGAGTGATCAACATGAACAAAAAATAAATTAGTACCTTCATAATTATTTACTTAAAATTCATTACTTAAAAGCCATTTAAGATGTTTTGAAAACAAAATTTTGGCTTGTGTAACTGTATGTTCGTCTGTATGATTTTCCAGTTAGCCTTGCAACATAATCCTTAAATTCACTAATTTCGTGGTCCGCTTGACCAATTAATACATTACAATTAATTAAGGTTTTTAGTTGAGATAAAAAAGTCAATGGCACGAGCGGGATTTGAACCCACGATCTTCGGCTAGATACGCCGCTGCTCTCCCACTTGAGCTATCGTAACCTCGATCCACTCGGACACTAACTTCCCATCTCAACTCCACTCCCTCCTTTTTGCCATTTTTCAAGCTTCGAGTGGATCGAGGTCACGATAGCTCAAGTGGCAGAGCAGCGGCATATCTAGCCGAAGATCGTGGGTTCGAATCCCGCTCGTGTCATTGACTTTGTTCATCTCAACTAAAAACCTTAATTAATTGTAATTGTTTACATATAACAATTACATTTTGGATGTGGAAAAGTGAATTTATACAATGCAAAATATATTTTTTATATATTCAATCAAAGTACCTCTACTCACTCAAAGTGTTTGTCTTCTGTGTAATTGTGCCATTCTTGCGTGTCGTGTCGAGAGTCCAGTGAGATTTTGCTATTTTGTGTTTATATACGTTGGATTTTGAAGGGGTGGGGAAGGATGTCGTTATAGAAAAGATATTTTTGTATAAGGCGTCAGCTTCTTTGAGGTGAAAAGAGCCGACGAAGGGAAAAAATTGTGTTGGTAATGGTTCGGCCAGATTATCCTTTCAGGATTATATAGAAAGGGGATAAATACGAAAAGAAAAGCTAAATGGTTGGGAAATTAGACTGTGTGAAAAAATATTTGATGTGTGGAATGCAATGTGATGATATAGGTATGTTATCTGTATTGAATTTGATTAATGATATTGGCGTAGCTGCGACTGAGTTTATATGTATCTGTTCTGTAATTGATGCTGTGTTTATCTCTGTTGATATAAACCATTTCTAAGAAATTACATTTATGTGTGTTTTGTTCTGTGTGTAATACTTTTGGATTTTTGAAGTCAAAATTGTATGGTGTTCAAGATGGTGGGTAGCGAGGGCTGTAGGATTTTGCTTAGGTTTTTTGCAATCATAGATATGTTGCTTTACTCTCTTGTCCAGATATTGGGATGTAGACCGATGTAAGTTGCCGGACAGTTTAAACTGTTGATCTTGTAGATTACGTCAGATTTATTCGTCATTGGTGTGGGATCTTTATTTTTGGAAAAAAGTGTTTGAATTGTTTTATAATTTTTGAAAGCTATTTTGAAGTTATCGGACAAGAGAAATGTGTTTAATTTACATGATAGGCCTTGAATAAATGGCATGGAAATGTATGCTGGTTTGTTTGTATTCGATAGACTTAATGTAGTATTATTAGTAATAGTGGATGGTGTTANGAAAATTCAAAAGGTGCGGTTGAGATGGGAGGTTGGTGTCCGAGTGGATTGAGGTCAAGATAGCTCAAGTGGTAGAGCAGCGGCGTATCAAGTCGAAGATCGTGGGTTCGAATCCCGCTCATGCCATTGACTTTTTTATCTCAACTAAAAACCTTAATTAATTGTAATATTCCTTAAATGTGTGGTGATTAGTGACCGTTAATTGATTATTATTCAGAAATCACCGCATCTCATGATTTCTGAATAAATATTCCTTAAATTGAGTATAATTTTTTAAACATTAGATATAGATTATGGATATGTAACCTAACCTAATCTAACTCTTCCTTTGCTCTACCTCACCTAACCTAACCGGTCCTTAACCATCTCTAAACTATCCTGACTCTTGTAGGTAAGCAATTAACATAACAAAAAAGAAATCAATACCTTTATTGATATTTACTTCAAAGTAAATACAAGATACAAAGTAAAGACAAAGTAAAGAAAAGATAAAAGCCAAGTAAGTTATTTAAAACAAAAATGTGGCAAGTGTAATTTTGTTTGCCTGTATGATTTTCCAGTCAGCTTTGCAACATATTCTTTAAATTGACTATAATTTTTTAAACATCACATCAGGAATTAACCTCACCCATTCCTAACCCTACCTAAACTAATCTAACCGTTGTAAGATAAGTGATTAAAATAAACAAAAATAAATGAATACTTGTATAATTATTTATTTAAAATTAATGGTACAAAAGCCATGTAAGATGTTTTTAAAACAAAAATTTGGCTAGTGTAACTGTATGTTCATCTGTATGATTTTCCAGCCAGCCTTGCATCACCCCTACCTCAGCCCCTAACAGTACCTCACCTAACTTAACAACCCTAACCTTATGGTAGAAGTACACACTCGCTGAGGCATTTGAGAGGAGTTGTCTAGAGACCGAGACCCGAGACCAATGTGTACACTCTACCAAGAGAACGTAGGCCTGATGGCACGAGATCCGCACCACCACCCTCTCGGCTCCTTTGACTCATGCTCAAATACCGCCCCAAGTACATTCCGGTCACCTCGGCGAGTGTGAACTGGCACCATTGCATAACTTAATCATTTCTAACCAAACATAACCCCACCCCTGTGCTCTCCCCAATAACATAGAAATGGTAAAAAAAAAACATTTATATTATAATAATTCTATTAACTATCAACAGCATAAAACCTAAATTCTTATTAGATCTGGCCAAGAGTACAACAGTTCCCAGAAAAACCAAGTTTGTAAGCCATATGACTGCAGACCCGTGACAGTATGTTGTACAATGATCGTACTAAACAAAATTATAAAATTGTCATCAACAACAGAACTAAACATAAATTAGACCTCGTTTGTTTAATGTTGATAAAAGGATATAATACATAAACGAATCTATTTCACAAAGTAAAAATATTTTAATAACACAATTTAAAACCATTTTAATTACTACAAAGCACGTTTAGAGATATGTGCTTAAGGATAAGCATAGTAGGACATTATTTACAATTTTAAGCATCACCATGAACATTTGTGATAATATTCTTCATGTCTTCAAAAAACGAAAGTACACATATGAAAATATATTTTTAAAAAATTAGAAATATAGCAATGCAAAGTAATACTACTCATTAAACCATCTTCATTTTGGTTGTGCTTGAAAGTACATAAATTCTTACACAGAGCAAAGGTTCACTTGAAGTGGTACATGCCCAGGGTGCTGATTGGACTTATGAGCTGAAGTTAAAATTTCTAACCCATGCTGTTTAATGGATGTGGATTCCGGAGGAAGGGAGTACAACCATTCTTGCTTAAAAAGAAGGATTAAGTTAATACAATTGGAAGAGGACTAGTTGGCTGCTTGGGATCCTACTATCGCCTTAGAACCAGGGGTTGGCTTAAAACTGCTATTAAGAAAAATAGTGCCATTTAGTTCAATAAAAGCCCAAATCAAACATTGCTTAAAATGTGTGGTGATTAGTGACCGTTAATCGATATTTATTTAGAAATCGTGAGATGCGGTTTGGTGTGATGTAGGTTTCAGAAAAACATTTTCTTTATCGTGCCAACGTTTCGATCTTTATTGAGATCATCTTCAGGGCCTGGGATTTACAAACATTGTTTACATATAACAATTACATTTTGGATGTGGAAAAGTGAATTTATACATATATATTTTTTTTGTTACATTACATGTTTGTTGTTATATAACAATGTTTGTAAATCCCAGGCCCTGAAGATGATCTCAATAAAGATAGAAACATTGGCATGATAAAGAAAATGTTTTTCTGAAACCTACATCACACCAAACCGCATCTCACGATTTCTAAATAAATTGCTTAAAATTTTAGTTTGCAAGCTAAAATAAATGTAGAATATAGTAGGTCTTAGGTAGAGGGGTCTCCCTCAGGTACATTGGTGGCAACAAATAGCTTGAGGCGCAAAATTGAAACTTTTCCCTAAGAACAAAGAAGTGAAAAAGACAAAACAAGAAAGAATGTATATTAAGATTATACAAGAATAACAAACAAAAATGAGAAAAGACTGAGAAGTTTGGAATCATAGAACAAGTACAATAACAAAAAATACTTGAATGGTGAATTGTGACGAACTACATACAATGAAAGTGTAGAAACACAATAGGAGAGGTTGAATGGTACAGTACATAAGTGTAAAGAATATGACTATCCAAACAATCCATTGACCATTGTTGTCTTTTAACATTTTCATCTTGCATTCTTTGATCATAAACACACAACCACATGCAACTACTATAATAAGCTGTTACACCATAACAGCAATTACCCAATAGAACAAAAAAAAAATCAAGTTAATTGTTTAAATATGCTTGATTAATGCATTAAGCTTTCAGGAAAGATGACTTTAAGTTACTATGGCTGTTATATAAATGATATCTGCATACAATTTTATTTGGTCATTTCTCATCATTTTTGTCTGCCTATCCTTGTTGGTTGGTCTGCCAGATATGTTTCAGCATTTTGCCGTCTAAAATATTATTCATAATAAATTATTACGTTTCTTGATGACAGACCAGTACTTAAGATGGCAACTAATGCATATAGGTGGGAATATTTCACTGAAGTACAGCAATAATCTGTAATTTGGTTATTACTGATTATTTTGTTCTGTCTTATCGCCTATCCTTACTCTATTGGTCTTTGGTCTGTCTTTACCGAATTGGTTGCAAAAATGATAAATGCACTGCTTATGGTGGCTACAAACAGAAACATGTCTTGACAGACCAATCCAGCAAAAATAGGTAGACCAAATTAGACATGACCAAATTTCAGGTCCATCAAACTGCAGATAACATACATAAATTTCACAATAAAATTTAAAGTTAAAAGAATACATTTATACAGCTGAGGTTTAGTTTGCAAGGATAATTTTTTATGATCTAAACTTGTTTTTCTTCAGATGACATTGTGACATTTTAGACTTTTATTAGTCGTTTTCTTTCATCAAATATTAATGTATGTTATAACAGGTTGAATGTGTAGGTTAAAATGGATCAACTTTATAAGTAGCCAGGATAAGTCAGTCTAATGGATAAATTTTTCAGTGTTAAAGATTTTTTCGCCTTTAGCAAAAAGCATACTTAGTTCATAAATATTTCTGCATTTCAATGGTTATTTATATAAAAGGGTATATCATTTTATCTGACTCTCCCTTAGCGTGGTTACAGTTGTCTGAGACCAGTTCTTCATCGACCCTGTTGTTTTACTTTTGTTGGAGCGACACCATGAAATGGTCTTCTCAGCAAAATGGTAGTTGTTTTCTACCTACCCAGGGATGTCCCAACCTCTGGACTTTACCACCATGATGCAGCACCCTGACTAAAATTGCAATACGAGCCAAGATTAAAAGAAAGTGGCAGCGTCAGTGTGGCCAGATTGGCAGAGAAACTCTCACATATCAAGAAGCACTATCCTGTAGGATTGAGGAGGATCTGACTCGTAGAAGAATCATCTTCCTCTGATTATGGATAGGCCATATGAGGTCGACACTCGGACACTTACTTTTATGTCCGTGCAAAGTCCGTGTATGTGTCCAGCATCCAAAGAAAAGTAGCTCTGTGTTTCCCACATAATTGAAGGCCGCAATTCCTTAGCTCCATAGATAGGACGTAGGAATGCCGCCCGATATTGGAATTGTGCTTGAGCATGGCAGCGAGTATTTAGGTCCCCTGTTAAAATTTTTTGGAGGAAACAGGATTATTTTATTGTATATAGTACTGATAGTTATGTGTCTCTACCATGTGTTGTGAGTGAATGTATTTATTGGCATGAAAGTGCAGTGTGAGAGGGGCAGAGTATTGAGTACCCAATCGGTGATGGAATGAATATCAACTACTCCACCACCCTAAATGTGTCAATGGTATTTAAATAAATAAAAATGTATTTAAGAGTGAATGGGCTTGGATTTAAGAACTAATTGCGTTGGATGCAGAATTGACATAGCTTTCAATAGCCCCTGGAGCCTGACATCGGCAGCTGGATAGATAAGATCGAGGTCTGACTCTGGACTACCAACAGGGTGGGTGATTCTTGAGGCCTGCTGGTAATTCATTGTAAATTATGAAAGATGGAATTATCAGTGGACTGCGAGAAGTGGTAAGCTCAATTCTGTACATGTGTACATACTTGTGCAGATGTGAACTTATATAAATCAACAATCAGCAGCTATATTTGAAATGGATTTGGCCTATTGTTTTATATCTAAAATAGATCACCATATAATTTTATTAGGATTAGTTGATACTGGTATCAATTAATTTTCTAGTCTTTTCAACAAGGTTTGGTCTGTATTTACAAAAGCATCGTCATGTTATTCTATCCACAGTACACAAATATTTTTTTAATTTAAAGGTTTTCTATATAAAAAGTTAACTTACTCAACAGAAGGCATTAACAGTAAGAGCTACAAGAAGATGCTTTTGTAAATTAATGGGTGAAATTGGTTGCAAATACACTAAAATTTATTTATCGTCTGGAATTGACTTATCCTTAGTACTGAATAATAATTGTTATTATAATTGTTTATCTTCCTTTTAAATGGGGTTGGCCTATTTTTCATTTCATAAGATGGATCGTATAATATTGTTAGTTAGGGTAAGTAAATTCATGGTAAAATTTTACCATTTTGAAAAATGGCAAAAAAGAGGGAAAATTCAAAAGGTGCAGTTGAGATGGAAAGTTGGTGTCACAATAGCTCAAGTGGTAGAGCAGCGGCGTATCAAGCCGAAGATCGTGGGTTCGAATCCCGTTCGTGCCATTGACTTTTTTATCTCGACTAAAAACCTTAATTAATTGGTCAAGCGGACCACAAAATTAGTGAATTTAATGAGTAAAATTTTACAATGTTTTCAGCATGGTTTGGTCTTTATTTATAAAAGCATCATCAGGTTATGCTAACTACAGTTCATAATCACTTCTTAATTTTTAATGATTATTTATATAAAAATCTTTATTCGACAATTAGCAATAATAGACCTTATAATATGAAAATATGGCGAAACCGGTCGTGAACATACTGTAAAATTTATGTACACCAAGGATCCACCTACCCCCGGATGTTAACATATATTTATTATTATTTTCTTTTTATGTCAATTCACTATGAAGTTGACTGTTTGGTGTGAGAAATCTTTCAAAAAATTATACACATCTGACTTTATTGTAATTTTTTTGTTTGCTTTATTTGTGGATAATGAAACAGACAATATAACATGCAAAATGGAATTAGAGGTAGAGGATATAAGAATGAGTAATAATAATAATATTTCACTTCATTTCTTTTATTGAGCTACAAATGTAACATGTTATTTTTTTAATTGCAATATTACATTAAATTTACTAAAAACATTTACTTTTTTTTATACAAAATGCCATGCCTGTCTAGTAACTATTTTCATCAAGAAACAATTCCTAATTTTTTAAAGAAGACAATTAGAGGCATTTTCGTTATCACAATATAAACAATTATATATTTAGCATTCGACCTGCTATCAACGTTATATACTCTAAAACAATCGTTACAAAACCTTATATTTAAAAGAATTCAGCTAATTTTTTTTAAAAATAAGCATGTTTTCATTATGAACAGTGACATCTGTTTTTTTTCTTCTTTTTTTCATGAACATAAATAATTCTATTTACAAAATTATTAACCTTTTGTAGTTAACTGTGAATGCAGAGAAATCACACTATTTATGAACAAAACTAATATATTACATGGCAACTGGAGATTTCATTTGACTTTGAAATCCATTTAAAAATGAAAACTAGCATTTTTTTAAAAATCATAATTTATAAAAATACATAAGGGTGATCATCACACATTCACACGCAGACAAATAAGATTTTCAATATCCTAATAATGAAATTTGGCTTTCGAAAGTCTCTTATTTTAATTAACAACTTGGATAAATCTATAATCAAAAGTATTATGTTTTTAAGACTCATCGGAGACACTCACCAAAATGTTTACATTAATCATTTACATTTAAAAAATAATTTTGTCATGTTAAAATTGTGCTTTCTTTAATTAAATTTCATGTACATAATTTCTTTGAAGTAAAAAGACTACAAAATCAAGGGTTATAGCCTATTTACTAATCAAGTGACTAATTACTTAGTACTTTATAATCATACCCTTTGCAATATAATAGTTCAAAACGTAAAATTAAATAAATGTATACAAATTGTCAAATTTGAAACATTTCGACTGACTTTACTGATTATTAAAACATACCCAGTTCTTCAGTCAATAAGAAGAGTTCATTCCTCATAAAATCACTTTTAAAGTTAATATACACAAATTAAATAAAACCTACATCACAGTATATTAATTTGAATCACTGTAATCCTCATAAAAACATTTATTTAGAATCACTTTGTTGTTAATTTATTACAGTATGCTATTGAACTTCTATTTAATTGGCTTAGGAGAATTATTTTCAAGTCGAGTCCTTCTAGGCCTGGGAGGTTTAGTCTGAGTATTCCGTTTGAAATAGCCTCCGTTTTCAGCGTCGGGATATTTAAATCCTTGGTTTAGCAGGTGATAGCCATCTGGCTTTACAGTCTGCGGTGTCAGAAAATAAAAATGTCCACCACTGCCTGGTAGTTGGTACGATATAAATGCATTTCCTCTCGGCCTTGTTTGCTGTAAGTAGTATGGGTTTATGTATTCCGCATCCGGATTTACAGTCGGATGCGGATTTTTGAAATTGACACTTATGTCGGAATGAAGAGGGTGCCCTGGTCTGACCAGTTCTCGATCCGCATCTTCATAAGACTGATATTGTGGACTAGATAGTCTATAGTAGTTGGAGAAGCCATGATTCGGCCTTGGATTATGTTTGTTTAATCCTTGCCTGTAATTCGGCAAACTGACCGCTTGTGGTTTGGAATAGTATTGTTGATCGTTTTGAATTTCATAAACATCATCTGGGAATTTGATGTTCTGCTTTGCTACTTCAGTAGTGCTTTGAGCAGAAGAATATACGTTGTAGTATTGTTTTTTAGGTACGTTCTGAACCGGAGTCAGTGGTGTCGTGAGAGGTTCACTTAAACCCTCGTTATTCAGTTTTTGACCAAATAATGTAAAATATTTTTTTGTAATGTCATCAAGGAGTCCCATGTCTTGATGAAATACGTTACTGTAAGGTGAAGGCGTTTTGTATAAAGCGGAATTGTAAGCTTCGTCGTTGTAGGAGGGTGGACGATGAGTATGGGAATAATACTGCGGCCGTGCTGTGGTGTACTCTTTTTCGAAGATGTTCGCTTTAGGACTGCTTTGGTATTCGAAGAAACTGAATTGATGCTTTTTAAGAGGGGTGAAATTCGTTTCGAATACAAGTGGTTTAGGTGTAGTTCCGTAGTTGATCCCTACTTTCGGCGCTTCTATGGAACCGTAGCCCGGAGCTGAGTAACTGTACTCGTAAACTGGCGGTTTCTCTGTCGTAGTTTTCGTACCGGTTAGATTTTTTCTCTGCCCCAAATTGGCCACATATTCGTTTCTGAATATATTCACTGGGGGACCAGTAGGCGCGTTATATAAATAACCTTTGTTTTCTTTCTTATCGTTTTTGTAATAATAATCGTCTGATGGCTGGGTCGATAATATAGTAGGTTTAACAAAATGCTCTTCGAAGTAATTCATGTTCAGAGGTCGGACTCTGCCATTTTCAGAAGGGTTTTTTACTGAAACATGCCCGAGCAAAGGCGGAGGTGAAAGGGTGTTTGTTTCATAGTTATCCTTGTTTTGATAATCGTAATAATCCGGTGTGGAAGATCCGTAGGGTGTTCTTTGATGATTGACAAACTTTCCATCCGCGATCTGAGGCTCTTCATAAAAATAGTACTCCTTAGGCGTTTTGATGTTGTAATTTGGAACAAAATTTACTTCAGGCTGAGTTGTCGTCTTGACACGATTTTGCGTCACAAATATAGGTTTGAAGCCTGTGTACAGTGGAGCTTCAGTTGATGTAAAATGGCGACCCCTTTTTTCGGATTGATAATTGAACTGTTGATCCCAGCCTCGAATGAGGGGATCGGTAATCTTTGGTTTCCCATTGAATTCCGTGATATTGGAGTAAACCCAACCGTTTTTAGGCAGGTCGTATTTTATTTTATATGCATCGTTGCTAGATATAGTAGGCTTGAGGCTGTTCAAGTCACTGATGTAGAACGGACGCGGTGCCGGGATGGGGACCCAATCTCCTACTGGTGTATTCGGTGGTAGCGTTCTCGGACGTTGAATTTCATTTGGAGTGTTATCGGTGACGGTTATTGTGATCGGTGCTGATGTCGACTCCGGTGGTGCAGTTGTAGTGGATGTCGGGAGCGTTGAGACTTTATAAACAACCGTCGGTTTGGGTGGTTTAGTCGTACGTGGTTTGTTGTGTATGTGCTCGTGGAGATATTGGGTCGGTCTGGATTTAGACGGCTTCCTCTGCGAATGGCTCGGTTTGTGTGTATGCGGTTTGTTCTTGTCATACGGCGCGAAGAAGTTCGGCGGCGGAGGCAGTATTATTCCAGGTACGAGAGGCCCCGGCGGTACATGGGAAGAATTATCCTTCGGGTAGAAGAAATCATACGGAGGAGGGTAGTAAATGCTTGGGTCGTCTTCGTCCAACTCTGTGAAGTTTCCTGGGGGCGGTAAGAAGGCGACGGCGGGCGGAAATAAGCCGATCCCTGGTCCTGGCAAGGGGAACGGTCGTCGGCCGTTCCCCTCTGTGGAGTTTCCCAGTGGCTTCAGAATTTCTTTTAGGTTTCCATCTGGTTGGCCGCCTGGAAGAAGAAACGGTGGTGGTCCGAATCTGGGATCGAAAAATGGTGGAGGGCCTCCACTTCCGTTCACGCCCCGAATAAATTCTATTGGGCCCCCGTCTTTTAACTGAACCGGGAAGGGTGGAGGCACTTTTGGGTTTGGGGGAATCTTGACCTGACGTTGTGGAGCAATGTAATTGTCGATCGGCGGCCAGATGGATTTACCATTCTGCTCCTGGCTACTGAATCCACCACCTTTGAGGACGAGCAAATGATTTTCCGCCAGCCATATCTCCTCTGGTTGGAGACCTCCTAAATTGTTGACGTTGTCTTTAGGTACTTCTGGGTTAATCTCGTAACTCAAAATCCCTGGACGTTTCACCGGCCGAGAGAACAATTCTGTCTGTATCAACCCGTACTTTCCATCGGCGACCTGTTGCGCTAGTGTTTTTTTATCTTCATCGTCGTCCGGCGCTGCCGTCGTACTCCTTTCTTGGTTTAAAATCTGTTTTTTACCTCGGAAAGCTGGCTTTTCTTCAACTGCGGTATGAGCGATCCTTTGATTATTGGCTTCTTCGGTCATTAAATCATAATTCCAGTCGATTTCTCTTGCCACGCATATTGAGATCATAATATGGAAGAGCAGATTCTGTAACACAATTCAAATAGATTAAGATGACTGCAAGCCTATTATCATTGAAGTTTTATAGATTATCATTATTTACAACCAAGAGCTTTTCTCATGTTGAATCGGCATTGGGCCATTTATTGGGCCGCCTACACTCGCGGGTTTTGAAGTTACTCGGGAGATAGTCTTGTCTTTGTGAGGGAGTTCTGTGTTCGTAAACTACGACTGTAGGTGTAATTTGCTCATTGAACGGAACGTAACAGTTCCTCACTGAAGATGATGCGTTTAACTTCAAAACCCGTGATTGTAGACGGTCTCATTGCCAGTTCAACATTTGTTCACCGGCTCGCAGACCAACACCCACCACTTAAAGAGTTTTTCTGTCGTAAGTTTTGCTACTATAACGAATAAATTGAGAAATAACAAAACAACAATGTGAATATAATTGATAAATATTTCTCATGCAAAATAACAAACAGGGCTAAATCACAAGTTTTTACTACATTTCCATGCAGAAACTTAATTCTCGAGCATTAAAGTAGTTCCCTAGATGTGCTCATAAAAACACAATCTTCTTAAACGTTTCCTGTAGTTACAAAAAAAAAAAAAAAAAAAAAACAGGATACCCCACGGAAATGGAACACCTTACCCCCTCGAAATTCGGCAAGTTTAAACCTGCAGTTTAATTTTATGAGTATGGACGAAACAATTATCCGACATCAATTATCATTTTCACTTTAAATAGGATTTATATTAAATGTTAAAGACCATGGTAGCCGACTTGGCTTCTCGGCTCGTAGACCGTCCTGGGTTCGATTCCCACCGTCGACCCGAAGTTTCCTTTCACGCTCCCCTTTCGCGGATGATGAAAACAAAAATTGGCGTATAGTTCACAGGTAGCACTAACCTTATCTAACCTAATTATTCTCAACCCAACCCAACCTAACCAAATCCTACTCGTCTATAACACTAACACTAACCCTATCTAATCTATTCCTAATCCAACACTCCCTAACATAACCAAATCTTACTTTCACATATTACTAACCCTATCGTACGTAACTATTCCTAACCACCCCCAACCTAATATAATCTTGTCATTTCCCTTCCCCCCATAGAAAAATCACAAATCAATCATTTTTCTCTGGCTAATCAGTATAAGTAAATAAAGGAATAAATAGAGCCAGAGTGCGCGATTGTTGCAAATTTGCAAGTTTGTATATAGCCCACGTTTTTAAAGTAGTTTTCAATGTTCGTAGTTAGCCAAGTACTAATTTTCTGTTCGACTATCGATCTTCAGACACTTTCATGTTTTTTACAAGAGCCCTGAGGCTAGTTCAGACAAATTATTTTCTGATTGAAACTTAAAAATTAAAGCTCGTACAGCTCGGGTTGTGGTGCCACCGAAAGATATTCTGTAAATTTGCCTCTTTTTTTATTTTTAATCTTCTTTAGTTTGACTGGTCGAGTTTTAGAAGGCTTTGATACAGTTTTGTAATAGCCAAGTTTAACCTCGAGCTTAATTTGACCTAAAAAATACGATGGATTTGTCACGAAAAATCTGGTTTATTCAATGATTTCCGTACCATAAACTTGGTAATACATAAAACAAGTAATCACAGAATTGAGTTTTATTTTGTATGATCCTTTAAAAACAGATGTTCAACAGATTGTACACACAATATTACGTGCAAATTTTGATTTATTGGAAGCGGGTGGTACAAATAGGTGAGAAAGTTGATTGTATCGCCTATAATTATGAATTTTGTCAAGAAGTCATTAAGCACTTTATATTATAAATTCTATAAGCTTTCCTAAGTAATGAAAACGTTATCAAACTGGAAATTTTTTTTCGATCGTCCAGCCTTAATTTGGCCCAGGAATAATAGATCCAATACAATATGGAAATAGGTGTTTTTTTAGGAAGTGGGGGCAGGGAAAGGGCGCGGTGCCCCACAAGCAGTTATGCTTGTTCACCTTGCAGGTCGCTCTAGTCGGAGGCACGACTGACCTAAACTGCCGGACAGCCGCGCCCACCTTTACTTCACTTTCCACCTCGAAAGATAAAACATACAAATCCTCGGAGGCAAATTTTTCCCCCTTTCTCAACCACGGTGGGTCCTTTTTTATGTAATACCAGACGAAAGCCTGAGGTGGTCCTCGAAGGGACTTTACTCTGTTGGTTAGAACGACGATTTGTGATTTAAAAAAATTGCCTTCAATATAAATTTCTTGGATTTATAAACTAAATACAGGGTGAAAAGAAAAAAATGTGCCTGGGGTAGCCGAATGGCTGGAAATCCGGTTCAGGGTTCGAAACCTGGCCTTTGAAATTATCTTTGAGAATAATTAAGAAAAAATTATTGTTAAGTGGTTCTCCGTCCGCGACACCTAAAGGATTGATTACTTTGAAGCTAAGTCCTCCTGCATGACTTCCCTTTCCTCAATCACCCGCGTGATCACTTAGATCGATTCCGATCATTTTGGCTTGCTTATACCTTCACTGTTTAGCCTTCTCGCTATCTTCAGTACAAAGACCCAACTGGGAATCCAAGAAACGACCAAACTAGTCTTTGGAATAAACTGAAACATATTTTTTCCCTTATTGTCCTGTGTCATATAGACCATCTAGATTAAAAAAATAGGAAAGATTAACTCTCCACACGATAAATAAAATTATTATTACTAGTAGATACAATCATAATTAGATGCTATGCACTGGGTACTGACCTGCCGCCCAATACTGGCGGGGAAGAAAGGCTAAAACTCTAAATGGTTTTATTAATTGAGGGATTGATTGTTTTGATTTTATATGCAGAAGTTATAATAATAAAAAGTAAATTTTTAATTATTTTCTTGTATTCTTTATTTGGTCGTACAAATCTTCAGTCTTGGTTGTTGGTTTTGTTCAACTATAAACCCCAATTTTTTTAATAACTTGCATTGTGAATAATATGGAAGTCATTTTAAAAAATTGGTGTTTAGTTCAACAAAAGCAATAACCCAATAAATAAATTTCTGTCATACACGACCCCAACCTCACCCAGTCTTACTCGTCCTAATACATACAAACCTATTTAACCTAACTATTCCTAACCCAACCCAACCTAAACCTAATTTAACTCACCCAACACTAACCCTGTCTAACCTAACTATTCCTAACCTAACTCGTCCATACGACAAACGATATCTAACTTAACTATTACTAACCCAACAAACTGATTATATTCATCTATAACACAAACCCTATAAATCCTAACTAATCCCAACCCAACCTAACGGTATTACTCCAATCACACTAACCCCACCTAAACTAAATATTCCTAACCCAACCTAACATAAACTAATCTAACTCGACCATAAGACAGAACCTATCGAACATATTATTTCCAACCCAAACTAACCTAATTTTATTCGTCCATAACACAAACTCTATCAATTCTAACTATTCTCAACCCAACCCAACCTAACCTAATCTAACTAATCCATAACACTATCCCTACCTATCGTTAATTTACTATCCCAGCTTAACTTTCCAAACCCGACCTAACTTAACCAAACCTAACTAGTCCATAACATAAACCCAATATAATCTAAACTAACTTAACTCGTCCATGACACTAACTCTAATCTAACCTAGCTATTCCTAACCAACCTAACTTAATCTAGTCCATAACATTAACCCAATCTAATCTAACTCTTCTGTAACACTAGCCCTAACCTAACTGGTTAACCCTATCACTAACACACAGGAGGTCTTAACGTCGAATTCGTGAACTTACTATTTTTTATATATTAGGTATTTTCTCATGTTCACCGGGTTCGGAAGAAAGTGAACGTTAGGAACCATCACTGAGTACTCTCGACCTAGAAAGCCCTGTGAACTGAGAGTTCTTTACGAATAGTAATTGTTCCACGTTTCACATGATAAATCGAGAGACTTTCAGTGCTGGAAGATTGTTATTGTGTAGATAAACCTCTGCCGATTCTACTGACGTCGGAATTCATTTGGCTTTTGTCTTTGAACATCGCGTGATTCGCATATAACACAGTACAAATTGTAAAGGGGGAAAAATGTGTCGAAATATTGAGTAGTGACGGAGTTAGAGAAACAAATCAAGGTTGACTTTCTCCCTTTCGACTCCCGATATTGTTCGAAATTTACAAGCCGTTATTTCCTTTTTCCCTTCTTATGTTGTGCGAAGTATTTTTATAAATGTTGCACAATTACCTTAATGATTGTATTGTAAACAAGGATAAAAAAGATTTCTTAATTCCGTGAGAGTATGTCCGGAGATTTCTTGCATTATTTCTGTTTTTAGATGGTACACCTATAATTTAACCTTTTTAAGTCTTCGGCCTGCTAATTGTAAGAGAATTTCGTTAAAATCACCTCACAGGAGTAAGATTTCAATCACCTGGACAATTCCAGTCAAGACCGTTCTAACTCTGTCAGTATGCTCTTTGAGATAGAACGATGAGCATGTCTGATTCACGCGATCCTTGGAAGATTGAGAAACTCGATGTAAAAAGACGAAGGAAGCAAGAAATTGTGATCGATATCTAGATTTGATTTAGGCCGTGACCAAGATTGCAAGGTTCTAGTTATTGTATAATTCCCTTGCGGATTTTTGAAATATAAGTTTCAAAGAAACTTTTATTTATTAAAAATAGACCAGTTAGATCGCGTTTACGGACTGCTTAGACGGTCAGACTCCGCCGTCGTGAGTACGATTCACACTGTTGCCCCTGGAACTTTCGCCCCCCCCCCAACAACAACAAAAATCTATTCATTTAACGTATTTTGGGTAAACATGGACAACACAACTCCATAAAAAAAGTAAATACAATTCTGTCATTGATACATTTGTAAAGGTTATTTATCAGAAAACATGTTTTTTCTTAAAACTTTACATTTATTATCTAGTGGATGCTTCGTTTAGTATATTTTCCTGCTTTCTTGGTCCTCAGCAGTTCTATTTTAATCGTGCCTCAATTATTTATTTATTTCTCTAGTCAGT